GCCGACGGGTGTCAGCTTCTGCAACGTGACGGTCAAGTACGCCCACACGGGCTTCGAGGACGTGACGCAGGTGCAGATATGGCTTCCATCTGCCGAGGCGTGGAACGGACGGTTCGTGGGCGTCGGAGGAGGAGGGTACTCGGCCGGGCAGTTTGGGAGCGAAAAGGTCGTTGCGACGCTGGCACAGGGATATGCGAGTATGTTTTCCGTCATTGAGTCCTCTCTGCTCGCGGGTGCTCTTGCTGGAATTTCAGACGCGTGAGCGCAGACTAACGGGGCGATAGCAAGTTCAACGGACGCCGGGCACGATCACACGACGTGGGAGGAGGCGCCTTGGGCGTTGACGAAAGATGGCACGGTCAATGAGCGATTACTCGTGAACTACGCCCACGTCTCGGTGCACGACATGACCATCATCGCAAAGTCGATTGTAACGCAATACTACTCTCGGACGCCAGAGTACTCGTACTGGAGCGGTTGCTCGACGGGTGGCCGGCAGGGCATCATCGAAGCGCAGCGATATCCGGGAGACTACGACGGCATCCTCTCCGGTGCACCGGCCGTGAACCAGCCAAGTCTCATCATAAGCACGTACTGGCCTCAGTTCGTGATGAACCAAAAGGGGGTGTACCCGCATATCTGCGAACTGATTCTCATGACGCAGTTCGCGATCGACGCATGCGACGAGCTTGACGGCGTAAAGGACAACATCATTGCGGACCCAGATAAGTGCGCATTCGACCCGGCAAGCGTTGTCGGCAAGGAGCTCGATTGTGGGAACATGAAGATGGTCATGTCGGCCGCAGCAGCTGATGTCGCGCGGGAGATCTGGCGGGGCCCACACGGCGCGGACGGGAAACCGCTCTGGCTGCCAAAGGGGTATCCAGTCGGCGCACCCTTCACAGGTCGCTTCGGGCTCGGTAACACAAACTGCAGTGTACCGGACGCGCCGTGCGTCGGTCGGCCATTCCAGATGTCGGTGGAATGGATCCGCAACCTCGTGCACAAGGACCCGAGCTACGACGTTAACGGCATGACGTTTGCCGATCTTGAGGCGGCATATGAGACTAGCAGGCGGGAGTTTGACAGCATTATCGGGGCCAACAATCCAGACTTGTCCGAGTTCAAGAGACTTGGGCGCAAGATGATTAGCTGGCACGGGCTGGCCGACGAGTGTGTAACGATGCGCACGTCAAGGGACTATTACGACCGGGTGCTGGCGGTGGACGCTGCCGCGGATGGGTATTATCGCCACTTCGAAGCGCCGGGAGTGTACCACTGCTATGGGCTGAATGGAACGTTTTACCCGCTCAAGGGGTTGGAGACGCTGCGAGCTTGGGTCGAGGAGGGAAAGACGCCGGCTGTGATGGACGGGTTTAAACTAAGCGGAGGCAACGATAGCGCGGCGCCGACGAGACCGTTGTGCGCATATCCCGCGACTGTCAAGTTTGTCGGTGGCGATGCGGATAAGAAGGACTCGTGGATCTGCGAGAAGCGATCAGAAAGTTGCCCGAAGCCTGAGTGGAACAGGGATGAGTTGTAGTGTTGGAGGATTGTAGTGGAGGATTGTGTTCCCTGTCAGGTGAAGTAATTTGGATGGCATCCTATCGGTAGAGAAAATAATATCATGATTTCGTGGAATGGAACATCGTGGATAGATGATGCAGCTGTGGTCTTGTTGCCTAGGTTCCGAAGGGTTCTTCCGGAGTATGGTCCGCCAATGGCAATGAGGCACCTTGGAGGTACTGGGTAACTGTGTCTGTCTCCGGAGGAAAAGGCCCGCTCGAAAAAGACGCTTATCTCATCTTAGAGTGCTTACATAAGAGCATCTCGAAGGACCCCGACACCCGCAGAAAAACGTGACTCCACCACGGCGAACCGAGGTGGTCCCACTGGGCCATCGGCGTCCCCAAACCCGAATTTCCCAGTTTTTCAGGGTCCAATCCCCCGCCAGTGGTCCCCCCATGGCCCCCCTCTCCCGTGCTACTGGCCCACCCCCTTGGCCCCTCTCTGCTGACTTTAGCATCTTTTGCCGCCTCTGCTTTTTCCCCTTGTTAGCAAATTCCCATGCGCAAGCCGCAAAAGGCCGCAAAAAACATTCGCCACCTCTCACAAAGGGCCCGACGCCAACTTTCCCTCTTAAAACCACCCTCCTTTCGATCGCTCTCGATCCCCATTCCTCGCTCCATGTCCGAAGATCGAGCCTCAACACCACCGATCTATCGGCCCTCCTCGACATCCTGGACAAACCACCACACACAACCAACACTCGTACCATTTGCCCTCCACGGCCAGCCTGAAGTGCCAGCCTGTGCTTCTGTCGCTGTCGCTGCGACCTGACCAGCCCGCCGTGGTCCCTGACGCTGCCGCTGCCGCTACTGCTGCCTGTCGCACCGCACCGTCCAGCTCCATGACCTTTGCGTCTGCGGACCTGCTCCGATCGCTCCGGGTCTAGACCCCCGGCCTTGTTCAATTCGTTCGGCCTCGACTCCAGGCCTTGTCTATTATTTCGTCTCGTCTTTGGGGATTACGGCCCCTCTCTGCCGGGTGCGTTCCCTCCGTGCTTGGACGGCCCTTGGGCCACCGCTCCCATTGATGCCTTCCGGCCCCTCCAACCCACGATCCGCTTCCACCCCGAAATCAGGGTCGTCGCCCGCTGGCGCCCATGGCCCGACTGCTATCAGTACCGGCAGTGATGGCCAAGACGAACCCGGGTCTCCCAATAGGGTCTCTTGGAATCATCTTCGTCAGGGCGAGAGTCATCAGCGCGTGAGTCTATTTTATCTTCCTTCTGCCCTCCTTCCCCTTCTACATCCGTCCCTTATCGAGTGACCTTATCGGGCCCACCCGTCGTCTCTGTTAGAACATACCTAACTTCATCATCTCGTGGGCAACTTCACCCTCGTCATGTCAATGCAGTAATTCCTCTCTCTGACCTCTCGATTCCTTAGATCCGTCATGGTGCCCAGCAATTACTTCGCCTAACCGGCAGATTCCCCGCCCACAATGCTGCCAGCCCTGAAGGAGGCTACAATGCATCCAACGATCACGCCTTACCCACCGAGCACGACTTGCGTGCCATGTCAAGATTATCCCACAGCATCGCCCGCGACATACACGAGATCAGGACCCTGCAAAGGGAAGATCCCAACGCCCACAAGCGCAGGTCGGGGGCCGAGGGTAGTAGTGAACAGCAACAGCTCGCCGCGGCCAGGAGCCACGCCGGGAACAGCGGCAGTCCCCCAGGACGCAGGCATCGCCGCAAGACGATTGATTTCTCGTGCCACAAATGTCACCGCGTCGATACCCCGGAATGGCGGCCTGGTCCCGACGGTCCCAGTACGCTGTGTAATGTCTGCGGACTGATTTACGCCAAACGCGAGCGCAAGAAAGAGGAATCGACGATGCCCACCTTTGGATCTCGCTAACTTTCTCATATATCTTTTCCTTATAATTTCTCTTCTTATTCTTCTTTTTTTCTTCATCTCTTTCCTCACTATTTACACTAAGCTACGTCGACGGATATATGGGGCAGAAAGAGCAATCTATGATCGGTTCTGAAAAATGGAATGACGAGACGGCTGCAAGGCGTTGGAAGCTGCTTTTAGGCATTGATACCCAACATGATGAGATGGATATGGACTACTTTTCTTTTGATTTTCTTTTCTTTTTTTTTCTCTATTCTATCGGGAGACCTTATTTCGGCTGGTGTTTGGCGCAACGGACAGGTGGATTATGAGATATACCCGACCAAAGAATCAAATCAGATTTGCCTTCTATCACTACTACTACCTATTATGCCACACCGCGACGCATCGCAACGTTACTCTAAAGTGTGGGTAAAGTGGCTGAAAAATAGCAGATGATCTCCATGTCTCGTTGAGGCTCAGGCGGTATCGTTTCTTCTCAACAGATCTTGCCCCCGTTGACAGCTAGGCGGAAGCAAGGGCTGACCCGTGTCTGACCACCGACGTCGAGTGTCTGACTTTAGCTCATCCGCATTCGACACACAGCGATGCAGCTGAGGGGATGCTATTTTGACAGACAAAGACAGAAATGCCCCTCCCGCCCGAAGCTAGCTCCCTCCCCCGCTCCTCTCGTCCTGTACCTCAATCTGCCTAGTCTGCGGCAGGTCGCGGATGAGCCGGGGTGAAGCTGTGCAAGCATAAGGCAGCTGCGCGGCGGCGGCGGCGACAACTCAGCTCCACAGCTAACAGCATAATGTCTCCGGTGAGCCGCGCCGAGGGGGAGGGATGCGGGGAAGGTGAATGAACCCACACGGCAGATCACTCACGAGGTCACTCTTCCAAAAACCATCGCAAAACACAACGCTTTCACGTCAGCCCACCGGCCAGTTTTCCCCCAACTTTCCCTGTTTCCCCAAAGAACCACCATCGACATGACTGGTCGAATAGGCTCCGTAACCGATGTTGCATGCAGCTATGCCAGGCAACATTTTCGGAGGGGGAAAGCTCGTATTCACCATGCTTAAAATGTTGTCTTGAACCTCCTGACCATCATCCCCCAAAGTTCCCGATTGAGGGGCGGAGTGACCTCAGTCAACCTATTTCGCCGAGATACAAGTTCGTGTTCGTCTGTTGACATCGTGGCATTGTCACATCGGTTCGTGTAGTCTGGGGCTTGTCTTGGAGGTTAAGTCTATTTTACGTAGGGTAGGATGATCTTTAGTCAGAAGTTCCTTCATGACAGAGGCGGCAGGGCAGAGGTTCTCAGAGGTTAGAGGTGCCATGAGCGCTCATTTAGGAAATATGGTGACATTCTCAAGCTGATCGACGCTCGTATCTAGAATCTCGGTCTCTGTGCCGTCGCCCGGCAGCTGAGACCCTTGAGACTTTCGTGACAACATAGCATGACTTCACTTGGAACTTCTGTGAAAAGGCGGTCACCGGCTGGATATATAAATTACAGATAGACTCTCGCATCAAACCTCTTGAACAGCATCAGCCTCAACTTCATTGCGATAACATAACCACAATTCATTAAAACCACGAAGGTCTCAAGCCAGAGACAATCCTCAGCCTTCCAGAATCTACCAAATTTCCACTCAAGCACACAACTCCCCAGCCTCCAACATGCATCTCACCTCCCTCCTCATCCCCCTCCTCGCCGCCGCAACCCAAACCGCAGCCCTCGGCAAAGCAACAGTCGTAAACAACTGCGCAACCGAAGTCTCCCTCTGGTCCGTCGGCGGCGACGTCCGCGCCGCCGGACCCCTGGCCGCAAAGGGCGGCTCCTACAGCGAGACCTTCACCCGGGACCCGACCACCGGCGGCCGGGCCCTCAAAGTCACCCGCGCGCGCGACGGCCTTTACACCGGCGCGCCGCAGCTCGTGTACGCGTATAACCTGGACGGCGCGGGAGTATGGTACGATTTGAGCACCGTGTTCGGGGACGGGTTCAAGGGGAGCAAGATTGTCGTGGCGAGTCGGCTTGCGAGTTGTCCTGCTATTGTGTGGGAGGGCGGTGTTAGTCCCGGGGGTAGTCAGGTTAAGGTTTGTACGGCGGATCAGGATGTCGTTTTGACGCTTTGTGCTTAGGGGGTTTGGTTGAGATGGGGGAGGTAGGGTGAGGAGGGGGAGGTTGCATGTGGTGTTGATGAAGGGGCTGAACTTGAGGACGAGGAGAGTGTGATTACATGCCTGCATAGTTTCAATGTTTAATGTTTTACCAGCATCTTTTCTAATCATATTTTGCCAAGATTTGGATACATGGGGCTACGGCTTATACGGCATCGACTATCTTCAAGCTCAACCTTCAAGCCAGGTGGCACGTTCAAATACACTCATTGGTCACGCTAGCGGAAAACACTTGTGTCATTGTGACTAATATGTAGCAAGGTATGTACTATCTACTTATGAATTGAACCTATGATACCATGAGCAACACATACTGCCCGTCTACCTGTGTTACATTGGGAATGGTAACCGAGTTGTCTGGCAAGATTCCAATGATCTCCCCGGCCATAAGTTGAAACGGTACTTCGGCGGTAGTCCCAAGTGCTTTCTTTGCCACCCTGACAGGGGCAGGCTGAACAAATCCCCGAACGGCGGAAAGCATTGAAGGATTAACTAGATACCAGACTGTCAGTTCACGGGCTACATCATGTATGGCTGATGGCGTTATTTGCAAGAGCACTTACACGGAAACTTCATATCTGCGAGCATAGGAGCGCCAGGTGAACTCGAGTTGACAACCCACGCGAAACTGTTAACCGGCACCAACCCGGGCGGAACAGCCTGCGGCGAAATCCCATTCACGATATCAATGTTGATGCCCATGTCGGTACTCGGCACAACACTCAGCCTTAAGCCGTCAATGAACTCAGCTTCCTGTCGATTCCCCGCCGTAACGTTGACCGTCCTCGTAGCTCCCTGACCATATTGCACAAACTCGTTGGCCGTATCCACCGTTTTGCGCCCAAGCAGGATATACTCGCCCTGGAGCGACGTCATCTTGATGATCCGAGTATTGTTCTCCTCTCTATGCACGTTGCGCGTCGCATCGTTGACGATCCAGCTTCGTTTGTCACCGGCCAGCGTACCGACGTAGGTGTTGCTCTCTTGTATGCCGATCGCGGCGAGAGCAGCCGGGTCGTAGGGGATCTCGATCTTGGCGATGAGGTCGTTTGCCGACTCGTTGAGGCTGATGACGTACGAGTAGTTCTGGAGGGCCATGAAGGGACCGCCCGTGGTGCCCGTCACGAAGTTGCCCGGCAGCGGGGTGAGGTTCTGTTGGACGACCAGCGTGCGGTTCTTGGGTGAGAAGAGGTCTAGTGCTAAGCCGTCCTGGAAGTCCTGGTCGGTTCTTTCCATCTGATGGACGTTGTCTTTAGCAAATGGAAGTTGAATTTTGGGATGATGGAAAGGGCACTTACACTACCGAGGACGTTGATAGGGTCGCCAAACTTTGCCTTGTCTGCTGCGTCCTGCCCGAGGACCAGGACCGCAGCGATGGCGAGCCACGGCCCGAAGAGCCTCGCGTGGAAGGGAACCCGACACATTGACTTGCTGGAAGATTGATATCGAAAGACGGATCTACTGTAATATCAAGAGACTGATTGGTACAAAGAATTAAGATTTGATGGCCAGGCGAACATGATATTATACCTCCTCAACCAGAGGTCGAGAGAAGACTCATGAACAAACCAGTTCATCCCCTGTTCAGGGGTCAGTCACCCGAAACCACAGCCGAACCCGTGAGCTAGACTGAAAACGCAAGTTCATGAAGCTTTACTCGCGTCCATGATCTCGTGAATACCAATAATTCGAGGCAACCTTTCGGCCGAGCTGCCGAGGCCACCTCGATTTCCGAGCAGGAGAACCGAGACCGACGCTGTGGTCACACTCTAATGTAAGGGGACCAGGCCTTTGGTAGGCACTCTAAGTCTCTATGAGTCCGGGTCCCGCCTCCGCAGGGCGCTTTGCGGGGGACTTTTAAAACAAGCTTTAGGATCTACTGGGCCTGGTCTAGAACAGAGTTTAGCGTCAAACCAATGATACAGTCGAGTATTAATAAGTTCAGACGGAGTCCAAACCCAACGTCAGCTCTGCACGTTTGACTCTTCTTTTCAGACGTAGGGGTTCATCCGTCTTTACCGATGAGTGTTCATTGTAGGTCGCTCACTACTGTTTATTGTGGCTGTCCTTTCATGCTCACTTTCAAATATGTAATGTAGCGGCACAGCCACTTTGCCCATTGAAATGCGAAGTCTTGCAGTCATTCCCGGCTTCGTTGGCATATGGGGCGTCCTAGGCGTTTCATGTTGTGATCCGACAAGCCCCAATGATACCATCCCACTGGCAGGATCGGCCTATCCGAATGTGACTTCTACAGCGCAGGATCTAGACTAACGTTCGCAACGTCTACCTTGGGCAATCTTCAACAGGACTGAAGACAGTAGCAGGGCGACATTCTCTCCTCCTGCATCACGTTCTCCCCAGCAAGAAATGCTCGGTGAGAGATATGCACATGTCTCTCGTCCAAAATTCCCCGGCCCCTGTCACTAAGCGTCAACTTACCAATGGTGCGGTAGCGAATCGTGTACTAGTTGGGTATGGATGGACTTTACTGTGATGGGTTCTGAATAAACATACCTCGGCCAGGATGATATTAGACGAGGTAGCTTGGATGAAAAGATCGAGCTTGTCTCTGTCTAGTCTTGAGCCTTATTCACCTCGTACGAGCTAGTCTATCGTCACTCCACAGTCTGCCGATGGCTCGGTCTTTCCCTCGTGGAATATGGCTTGATAGAGCAGACTAAGGACTCGATTAACTCTCATACTTAGGTACGTTACGGAAGCACCCCAATCCGTCCGCACACCACTCGAGGCCCCTGTCGGCGACCCATCTATGCCCAAATTGGATTTCAAAGATGATACCCTAATGAAAATACTTGATCAAGGGAGTAGCAGTGGATCACACAGATGGACATACGTGAGCCGGAAGTATCACGTAAAATGACCATGTTGAGCGATGAAAATCAGCCTTGCGTTCTACTTCCAGATCTGTCCTTGCCAGAGAACGAAGCAAATCCGGGGGTTCGATGTATTGGAAACCAGTGGACAACAAACTTAACGCACCTCAAAGCCCATAAGCACGGTGAGGTTCGAAGGAACTGATAGCACTGACTACTTACTTCACATAGTGTCGATGTTTCTGTTGCATCGATTAACACCAAACACTCAGGGGCCCTCAGCGTACATATTGATGGCGCTTGTGAATTACAGAAGCTATTGCATGTGGTTGAAGTGGGTAGTTGTGTATGTGTTTACTTCTATTGGAGCTCGTATCACATCGAGTACCTAAGCGAGATTCTGGGTGATTACGGTGAACATTGATCAAATCCATTTCCCTGACAGTGGAATGTGCCTGGTGTGGGGGAGAAGATCCGAATTTAACCCAGCGTCGCAATGGTGATGCTTTCCGCACAAGCCTCTGCCTAGCCCACGTTGCGGTCTAGTCAGAGTGACGCACTACAGTATAGGAGCCTAGAGCGCATGTGAGGCTGAGGCGCGAAATGCGTACTGTCTGCGATCAACACACAAGTCGCATATCTTGAACGAAGGGCAAGTCAGTTATAAAACGCTATCTCGGAGCACAACTTGGATCTAAACTCTCAGTGCCCCTAAGACGAGACAACTGAATCATGTCACTCCTACACTGGATAAAATCCCGACATGTCTTACCTCTCCGCGAGAGAGCCATCCAAAAACGGCAGGATTCTGAAACTGAAGCTGCCAACTCTTTATACGAGTGCCACGATGCTTTTCACACTCGCCTCATTCTCGACCCGCCGAATTATAGCGACGCAACTTGCGACAGGTACGAGAAGCTACGCCATGATCTAGGTGATTATGAGTTGATCTCGGCCTCCGTTACTGGTGTCTAGACTGTGGAAGAACGCAGGCAGACCTTTGTTCGACTTGCGTAGTCGTTCCCGGTCAGGGCATTGATCACGACCCAGGCCATTGATTAGTGCAAGCGCAGCCTACTGTTTGCTCCGTCTGCGAAGATATCGAGCGACTCGAGGTTAAGTTGGCCGACATGCACCGTTGGCCTTACGAGGAATTCTCAGTTAAGGGCGGTACACTCAAGGAAGTCGCTGAGAGTAGAAGCTGTGTGTTCTGTACTTTTGTGTGGAGACGGTCTGCTTAGTCTCCTCCAGAAGGCCTCAAGTGGCCCCCTGATGATGTTGAGAAAGTTACAATCAGGGTCAGGAAACAGTGGCGGGATTGTTTGAGGATCTCTATTGTTTCTGATCTTGCAACTGAAGAAGCATTTGAAATGCGCGGGGAAAACTAATATGCCAGGAGGGGGCGAAATGCTGTGCGGATATGGAAAAGGAGATGCGTGTGGGCCCTTTCATCTGTAAGAAGTATATCTTGCGCAAAGAGCTTCTTCATCAAGAGTCTTTATCAGGCTTAGAGTGCTAACCTCTTCCCCACAACTTCGTCTCACGAGACGCCCGTCAACAAAGTCTTTCCAGCAGAAGAAGAAAGAAGAATTTGGCAGGTTGGAATCTGCAAAACGCTACCTAGCTCGCCAAATCATGGCTCTATCCCATCGACTGCTACAAGGCGACAGTACATCCGAGTGCGGGGGAAGAACTAATTAGGCATTATTCCGATTTATTTCTACTATATCTGCAAATTAAAAAATTCATATCTCGGAGAATTTAGAGAAAAGCTGGAGACCATTGTACTGTCGCCTTGTAGCAGTCGATGGGATAACTGCTGCAAAAGACATTCCAAGTGTGCAGGAACCTCACCGCATATCCTACCGTCTCGTGTCTTGGTGTTGCGAGTCCAGGATCTCTCACGAGTTTATCTAAAAGAGTCAAAGGGGATTGAAGGTAGTGACGCTACATTGAGCCACTGTTGGAGCCCAAGCCGACCGGGCCTCATCACTACCAAAGATAGCTACCAGGCTCATCAGAACTTTGGTATCTCAATCAGCGAACTTCCAGAGACGATAGGAGATACAGTTCATACAGCAAAGACATTGGAACTGGACTATCTCTGAGTCGGTCGGCTTTGTATCATTGAAGATTTCGCAGAAGATTGAGCTCACGAAGCGGCTCTCATGTATGCGATGTACTCTGGCGCAACACTCATACTTAGCGGCCGATGGGAGCAACTCAGCTACCGAGGGTTTCTTCCAGTTGAACCAAACTCTCTTTACGCTGGACCACAAGACATACTACGACCCTGGAGGCGACGATCTGGTCTACATCAAACGCCGACGATCCGACGGGCCAGGTCTCGTCCGGCTTCGTCACGCTCGACGGACACCTTGTTCGCGGCCTACGGCTGAGCATTATGCAGGGCATCTACGAGGGCGGCGACGTCAAGGAAATGTGTTTCCTGAGATTTGCCGAGACGTATGATATCTTTATCGAGTTCGCGCCCGATAACCCGCCTAGTATGCTGCAGAGATGGGGATCTGATCTTACCGAGGTCTTGGTGTTGCTTTTGGGGACGAGGGATTTTGCTCTGGAGAAAGGGGGCTTATGGGACGGTTGATGGCTTGAGCAATCTGGTGAAGATGTCGTGGAAGATTTCGGGCGAGAGGGGAATTGCTGAGGTGAGTGAGGAAGATACAGGTGTTGCGGCCAGCTCGCCGGCATGCGATCTACCGAGCGAGTTGATTGAAGCCTTTGTGGAAGACGCGGAATACCCTCGCTTCACGAGATTCTCGATCCTGAAGGAGTCGAAGAAGGAGAAGTGCAAGTACACGAGGCTGGGTCGTTTTGATGTCTGGGGTAGGAGTGATATCGGTGTGGCTTAAGCGCTGTTCAGCAGCTTGGCCAGGGAGAGAATCATGATCATCTAAGGCAACGTTCCAATGGTAGTTCCGATGGTAGATTCATTGTCAGAGGAATCTCAAGAGGATGGACACGATTCTCGCCCAGGCTACCACGATTTTCGGTTCAATCAATAAGTTGATTCCTTTTGAATGCTTCCACTCGACGGGATCAAGGACTCGTTAGGGCGATTGTGGTTGCAGCATCTACAATCGGAGGGCAACGACGCAAACTCAGTCATATTCGATCTATAGGAGTCAATCTCCTTCTAAAATCCCGTGCCACCATCATCATCCACGAGACATGATACGACATAGTCTGTAACACCCTCGTTCTCGTTCCCGCAGTCGTAAGTAAGGTCAGCAGTAATCTCCGGCCCCGCGTAACTGGGCGGAGGCTGTGTTAGCCGACCGTTTCGATCGGACAGACGGGGGATCGAACAAGGCCCCTTGACTCCGAGGCCGGACTCTAGGAAGATCAATCCCACCGGGAATAGGCGTCACCGAGAACGCCGACTTTTTTTACAACTGGCGATGTAATAAACGATGACTCCAAGTCCGAACCTAGTACAATTTCAAAAGCTCATGTAAGCTGCGATGTATTCATGCAGGCTAGCATTATGACACTGCCAGCGAGGGTGCCTATCAGGCCCTCAACGCAGAGTCTGCCTGATCGACGAATCTCAATGCAATTAACATGTCCCTATTTCGGCGAGCGTCGGCCCGCTTTATGGAAGTGATGCTAAGACCGCCCTCTTCGTCAGGGCTATTCCACCTGATTAAAGTTGGGAAGGTTGGATATCGGGCCGCCAAGTAGGCCTAGAACGACCAATCACATTGCACGGTATCAGGCTTGGGATCAAACAACAAGTGTCTATCAGATCAACATATTTTCCGCGATACGCCGATGGAAAATTCTCAGAAAAGGCGGTGCATTTCATAAATCGGCCTGCAGAAAACAGCTCAGTTTGTTCAATTTTAGTGCGGCAGCTATCAGTGCAAGTTTGACTCCCAACCACTCGAAGCACTGCAAGTCGGTGAACTGCGCCTCGTCAAGATAAGACTTGGCGCATCCGACCAACCTCTGGAGAGTCGAGACACACACCACATCCCAGCCAGAATTTTACCACGAAACGGTGAGATCTAATTGCTCTTTACAAAGACAAGAGTTATAAAACTACGTCACACCGCATAATTACCGGTGGCAGTGCATATTTTTGCGCTGGGCAGTGCAAAAGTAAACAGCGGGGCTTGGCAAACCCGAAAGTACCTCGCACAGAGTCGCAAGTACCATTTGATTGAACGAGCAATCAGTCGAACGAATGAAGGAAACATCCAAATTCCCTACCAAATGTTTGCAAAAGAGGCCGCCTCGAAACTACCCAGTCCATCCGCCTCCAGCTCGTTGCGTCTCCTTGCGCCATCTCATCTTGCCACTGACTTGTCTTCCACAGTATCCACGTACTCTAACCGAATCTCCTTCTCCTCCGAACCAGTCGCGTACACAGCGGCGGGCGAAGTATTCGCCAAGACATCCTTGACGCTCTTGCGTTCTCGCAAAGCGGTCCAGACCGTGGTGTGCATGCTCCTCATGAAGAGTAGATCCATATCTTCCAGCGTAAGACCTAGCACGGGGCGCCTGCGTCAGCCACAAGGACAACGACGACGGAGAAAGTGGCTGAGGATAATACACTCCGACGGCAGTAGAGACCAGTGAGAGTGGGTAACAAAACTTACCTTTGGTTTCCGGTACGAAGAAGAAAGCCCACACGCCCATCAGGATCATGAGAGCGCCGAAGAACATGTAAGTTCCGTAGCCGAGCGACGTAATCATGTAAGGCGTAGTCCGTGAGACAATGAAGCTCCACAGCCATTGATCTGCTGTTGTGATTGCGACGCAGAGCATGCGGATGTCTAAGCTGAACACTTCGCTGCAGTACAGCCATGTGATGCCTTGCCTGTAGGGTTGATTAGACTTCATGCCTCACTCATAGACTACCGATACTAGTAAAAGGAGCCTCACCAGGTGGCGCAGTAGATCAAGCCATAGAGATACACGCAAACCATGGCGATGTACCCCCATGCATTGCGGTCGGTATTACCAGCAGCCGCCTGGCCCGCAGGGTCCGCAAGAAACGTGAAGCCACCAATGTACCACATTGGAAGGGATCCGACGAAAGCACCCCAGATGAGACCATTGCGCCGACCGACCTTTTCGGCGAGCCAGACGGTGAAGATGACCATGCCGAGGGTCTTGGCTATACCGTAGAAGCCCGTCGCGAAAAGCTTGGTGCTCGTGCCTGTAATGCCAAGAGTCTCAAAGATACGGGGCGAGTCTATTTTCTCATGTTAGTGGAAGAGAACCTAGATCATAAGAACGTTTTCTTTTACTCACAGTATGTGATGATGTTGACCCCTGTCAGATTCTGGCAGGCCATCAGAAGCAGACCGATACCAATACGGTTGCGAGAGCCCTTCTCAAACAAGCGCTTGAACATTTGAGACTTTGACATACGATTCGCGCTGCCGTCTTCTACTTGGCGCTTGATATCACTGATCTCGGTGCTGACATAGTCATGGTCTGCTGGCAGCTCGCGGACATGAACCAAGACTCTCGTGGCATCTTCCCATCTATCGTTCTTTGCCAGCCACCTCGGCGACTCAGGACACACGAAAATGCCAAAGAACAAAAGCACACCCGGAAGCAACTGCAAGCCGAGGGGTACAATCCACTGCGTTTGTGTCGAGTCTGAGATTGTGCGGTCCACCGCGTAGTTTACCCAGAAGCCGCACATCCCTCCTCCCTGTGATGCAATTTCAAAAAGCCCAACGAGGCGGCCGCGAATGGACGGCGGACTGATTTCCGAAATGTACACAGGGACAATGAGGGATGTAGCACCGATGCCCAAGCCAGCGATGGCTCTTCCGGCAATCAGGAGCCCAATCTCTCCGTGGGATGCTGTCATGAGAGTCCCGCCAACCAGGAAGACGAGAGCAGAGATCATGATTGCTCTCTTGCGGCCGAGCCACTCTGCCAAGGGGAACATGAGCAGGGCGCCGAAGAAGCATCCTGCCTGAAACGTGGAGACGATGTTGCCTTGGAGAGTATCACGGACAGTTGGCGAGCTATCTGCAAGGTCGAAATCCCGGCGGAATGAGTCCAGAGCCATGGTGCCACCTATGACAGAGGTGTCGTAACCCACTGGGCTGTGTTAGTCTAGGTGCCGTCTCTGTTGGGCTTGGGGGCGAAGTGAAACTTACTGGCGATAGCACTCATTGAGGCGATGACCGCTATCATGTGAATGCGCCAATTGCGGACTTCACTGGGATCGTTCGTCCCATCGGCGTGGAGGTTGAACCCCATCTTGCTCAGTGCTCAGTGCTCAGTGCTCAGCCTCGTGGCGAGAACGAGTATGACCTCAGGATCAGTCTTGGACTACCAATTTCTTGGCAGGTTAAACGAAATGATGGGAAGCGCCGTCTCTGTTGGCAGCGCAGTGACAGGAAAGCTTGATGACAATCGAACGTAAGCTACGCGAGGACTGGCAAATGGAACGGGCAATGACACCAGCCACGATACCCAAAAATCTGGATAGCCAGGCAGATTCGTTGATTGACATGCGCAAAGGCGATAATGTCTCCTTTATGGATGAGATACGACATGGCAGCATGTTTGCCTGCATGGCATCGTTACGTTGTAGGACTTGACAGATCAACGCGACGCTAGTTCATCTCACTGAACAGCACTGTAGACTGGCGGAAAACCCCATGCTGATGATAGATGGTTTCCTGACCTGGATGCTTCAAGCGATACACCCTTTCGAGATCAGGTGGACAAGTTGGATGCAATTGAGTCGAAGCTAGACCGTCTTGTTCAGGGGATCATGGCCAAGATTCTCTGGCTAGACGACAAGCTTCCCCGCGTTCCCCGCGTTAGGTATGCAGCGACCGGGATGGTGACCTTGACATTCTTCCGCAACCACGGTAGTTGATGCTTGAAACATTGCAGATATCGGGATGCTGAGAGATACACCATACGTTAGACAGAAAGGGAAAGCGCTCGAGGTGGCGCTAGATGATATTAGTTCGGGAAAATGCTCGAGTCAAGGCGTTCGTCGAGCGCTGGGGCCATTGGTGTAATGCTGGCCAAGAGTTTTGGACTGGGCCAAACGCTCTTGGACTTGAGAGGTTGTGTATGAGACCAGGATGGAAATTGAAGCTTCCAGGTTGCTCTGCTGTGATGTGGTGCAAGCCATGTGGTGTGTGCATCGATGCAGGTTGCAGAATGACAAGTTGGATCAGACGGTGGAGACCTGGAGACTTCCATGGACATCTGGCGGTACGTATCGAGCATGCTGTGAGTTCATTGGTCAACCAGCCCAGCGGATTCCCGAAGATGTTCCAGAACTTTGAAAATCCATAAAGGAAAGAGCGAGCAAGAGCAGTTGCCACCAGCTGCACGGGAAGGCAGGTGCGTGCCATCCTTGCCTGCAGCTGCTTACCTGAAATGGACCAATGTGGATCACCTCCTTCGGCTTGAGCTAAGCGAACCAATGGAACCCTTGGAGCGTGCCTGCCACAGCCACTCTTGGCGCTGACTAGCGCGGTCCCCCACGACCCCCGGGGACTCCACTCCGAGCTTGATTCGACTGTGACTGTGCATCGCGACCGCCCTTTTTTTTTTTGTTTTTTTTTTCCTCATTTCTTGGCTCCTCTTTTTGTCTTTTCGACATTGTCTACATACACATTTTTTTTTGTTCACTCCGTGCCGTGACTCCTCCTTTTTCTCATCTCACAAACTTTGTTTTCCTCAATCAATTTCCTCCCGTTTTTCTTCTCCACACTGTTGCTCCGGTCCTCTCCTAAACCTTCCCCATGTTCATTCTTTACATCACCACTCCGCATGGATTCAGCCAAGAGCTTATCATCGCTAGCTTATTGTTGCTGCCCGTCGACTGATTCGTCTCGAGCTTCACGTCTCAATACTCCCGCAATGCCTCCAAGCTCCACCTCGAAATGCTGACCCGGCCGCCCAGACTTGAGCCAACAACTCCACCGCGGGATGATATTGATGGATCTCGTTCTCAATATCTCCTTGTGGCTACTGGCAGCCCCCAAGGTATCGATTCCCAAGTACAGCGTACGGGGCAGTGGCACAGAAGCCGGATATGACTGAGACCATGAACGGACAATGTCCCGATCCATGCACCCATTCCGTCATCAAACTTTGCCAGTCCGAAACCTCTCCGACCATCCTCCATGGGAAACTGTTTCCCGCTGACACCGAGTGGTCATTCGCCGCCGCCGTGTATATTCGGCCCTGCATCGGTCGGTCCCTGCTCGAGTAATGCTGGTCGATGAAGCCATCGCCATTCTACCACAGCAGTTTGGTGGCTCTCTTCGCCAGCGCGGGAGAGAAGCGGATCTACCGGGCTTCAAAGGACGGCCACTCGATTGCGTTCGTTCCCCCAACTCTTGCGTGCGTCTCATTCCCTTGGCAGTATCAAGAGGTTGAGAGCGATACGCCATCTGGATTACGGCCGGCCACCGATCGGACACGGGAACAGCACGGATGCCCACGGCGTCTATCTAATGGTGGCCACCCCCCGCCGGGCGGCCGCATGGCACGATACTGCACCGCACCTGTTGCGACCCGAAGGATGGGCACGCCACTCAAGTCTCGGGCGCAATATCCGTATATGTCCATATCGACAGACGCTCACGGCGGTACTTGCAAACCTCGGTTTCGTCTGGAGAAGTCCAATCAGATTGAAAACGAATACCTCGGAATCAAACGCGATAAGGTCCCGGCACTTGCATCAACAAAACGCCAAGGTTCAAACATTGGCATGGCCAATGTTGCCAAGATCCCATTTACACGCTGTCAGTCTCCATTCCTCCCCCTGGCTTGGTTTCCCATCTCGTTGTTGCACAGCGGTTCTAGGATGGCCCCGACTCAAGCCGTTCTTCCACTGAATAGAGCTCGCTTCTTGATGCTCCAATTTAATTCCCTCATTGGGTCCTTTTGCACTTTTCCCTCTTGCACAGCCTCAATGCCCAGACCTTGGGCGGTTACCTCCTTCTCACCCTTTGGCTCACCTTTGCACCAGCTAGTCTTGCTAATCTCACCCAAGATGAGAGCCTCTCCCCCCGGCACATCATTCTATCTCTCCATCGGAGCTCCTCTCCTGGCTCCTCTCTTTTGGCTCCTTCCCCTCTTGATCACGTCGTGCAAGACTTTTTGTTCTGTTACTTGACCGCCAAGACCAACATATGCTTCCTGCTGTGATAGTCCAGAAGCAAGCGCGCTTTTTTCTCTCCCCTCCTCTGATGCAAATATCATTTGGCTTCTCTCTGGCCAATCCATCCTGTCTCTGTGGGGTCTCGGTTGACTTCATACCCTCTTGACTTGCCAAGAAGGGCATGTCGTTGTGAACGCTCGTTCTGCACTGCCACTCTCAAGTCTCGCCGGTCCAAGATTCCAGACAACATCAGCCTATACCTCTAACGCTCTTGAAAACTCTTCTCCCTCATCATCAGTCTCGTCTTGTGTGAGGACTTTTCAAGGTCATCTCAAACATGACGGCTACTCAAGGTTGATTATCCCGCACTATCCTCTTCAACTCCACACGCCATCCGACGGAAAGTAGACTATCGCCTCTCGCCCGGAATCGAACCCCTCCTCTCTGCACTGCCCTCTTCTGCTGTCACCATTCAGCAGGCACGCAGGCTGACTTGACGGCGTCGGTGTACACTTAAGAGACGGAAACTTTCTTCGACGGGGCTAAGGGCGCAGTTACGCCAAGGCTCACGGAAGTCTTCACGCTCAGCGTTTTGGAATTCTTGGTACGCCTTTGAGGCTCTCTCTACCTGGAAGGAACGCGAAGACACCTCCGTACGCAAGTTGCCTCCTACACAGCCTTGTTGTACAGCTCGTGTGTTGCCCTTCTGCCTTCTTAATACTCTTCAACTCGCCGGAGGTTACACCAACTCCTGCTACCTAGCATCATTATTGTTGCAATCAATTTCTCTTTTCTCTCTCCCTAGAACTCTTTCCTCAACTTCATTTTCACCTCGTCCATGAGAAAGTCATAGCATCAACTCAAGACTACTCTGCATCGGTGCTAATGGCGTCTCTCGCACCACCCCAGTTGCGCGTCGACACCCGCAATTCTCGCGGGAATGACAACGACGACGCGATAACACCGTCACCTATATCGACGCACTCAAATCCGTTTCTCACCCCGGCAATCAGCGCTGCAACAAGTATGCATTCAACCGCTTTAACGGAAGATCCGGATACAGCTCTTCACCCCGATCCCGGCACGGAAGGCGAGTTTGTCGTTGAGAATAATCCTTTTGCTTTTAGCCCTGGGCACCTCAACAAACTTCTCAACCCGAAATCTTTGGCCGCGTTTTTCGCGCTCGGCGGCCTGCGCGGTATCGAAAAAGGATTACAGACAGATGTCAAAGCCGGTTTATCCCAAGATGAGGTGGGCGTCGGGGGCAGAGTAAGCTTCCAGGAGGCCACCGGCCATCAGGAGCCCTCCTTTGCCACATCCGGTGCACAGCCACCAGCCACAACACACCACGCTGATGCCAATGGTTTCACTGACCGAACCCGAGTTTACGGCAAGAATGTCCTGCCCGCCAAGAAGGCGACACCCTTGTGGAAACTCATGTGGGGTGCATACAACGACAAAGTTATCATTTTGCTTACAGTCGCCGCCGCTATTTCGCTTGCGCTTGGCCTTTACGAAACTTTTGGTGCTGAGCACGATCCTGAGGCAGGCCAGCCGGTTGACTGGGTTGAGGGAGTAGCTATCATCGCTGCTATTCTTATCGTCACCTTGGTTGGATCTTTGAATGACTGGCAGAAGGAACGAGCCTTTGTCAAGCTCAACGCCAAAAAGGAAGACCGAGAGGTCAAGGTTATCCGATCCGGCAGATCGTACATGTTGAACGTCGCGGAGATTTTGGTTGGCGATGTTATCCATCTCGAACCCGGTGATCTCGTCCCTGTGGACGGTATTTTCATCAGCGGCCATGATTTGAAGTGCGACGAGTCCTCGGCGACAGGCGAGTCCGACGCTCTCAAGAAGACGGGCGGTGATGCCGTCTACAACGCCCTGCAATCCGGAAACGCTACCAAGGACCTCGACCCCTTTATCATCTCTGGCGCTAAGGTTCTCGAGGGTGTTGGCACGTTTGTCTGCACCTCCGTCGGTACCAACTCTAGCTTTGGAAAGATTATGATGTCGGTACGCACCGAGATGGAGGCAACGCCTTTGCAGAAGAAGCTCGAGGGCCTGGCCATGGCTATCGCCAAGCTTGGTAGCAGTGCTGCCCTTCTCCTTTTCGTCGTCCTCCTGATCCGCTTCCTGGCTGGCCTGGGCTCCAACAACAGCTCTGGCGCCGAGAAAGCTTCCACTTTCATGGATATCTTGATCGTCGCCATCACTATCATCGTCGTTGCCGTCCCAGAAGGACTACCTCTGGCTGTAACTTTGGCTTTGGCATTTGCTACCACCCGTCTATTGAAGGAGAACAACCTGGTCCGTATCCTTAGGGCATGCGAGACGATGGGCAACGCCACAACGATTTGCTCCGACAAGACTGGTACTCTGACCACGAACAAGATGACTGTCGTTGCCGGCACTTTTGGATCTGCCAGCTTCTCCAAGTCGGTTGAGGGCGAGAAGACAATCGGCGCCGTTGAATTTGCTCAATCACTTCCTACAGCTACGAAGAAGCTCATCGTCCAGTCTGTCGCCATCAACTCAACCGCTTTCGAGGGCGAGGAGGAAGGCCAAGCTACATTCATTGGTTCCAAGACCGAGACCGCCCTTCTCCAGTTCGCCAAGGACCACCTCGGCATGCAGGGACTGGCCGAGACTCGTGCCAACGAGGAAGTTGCGCAAATGATGCCATTCGACTCCAGCAAGAAGTGCATGGCTGCCGTCATCAAGCTATCCGACAACGAGGGGTACCGCCTTGTAGTCAAGGGTGCTTCCGAGATTCTCCTCGGGTACTGCAGCCAACAGGTCAACGTCAACGATCTCTCCATCTCGACTCTGGAGCAGTCCGACCGCCTCAACCTCGAGGCGACGATTGACGCCTACGCCAAGCAGTCTCTCCGCACCATCGCTCTCATCTACCAAGACTTTCCCCAATGGCCCCCTCACGGTGTCAACACCACCATCGAAGGACACGTTGATCTCGGAGATGTCCTCCACGACCTCGTCTTTGCCGGTGTCGTTGGTATCCAGGACCCCGTCCGTCCTGGTGTTCCCGAAGCTGTTCGCAAGGCTAAGCATGCTGGTGTTGTCGTTCGCATGGTTACTGGTGACAATGCTGTCACTGCCCAGGCTATTGCCACCGAGTGCGGCATCTTCACCGAAGGTGGTCTCATCATGGAGGGTCCCGTCTTCAGGAAGCTTTCTGTCGAGCAGATGAACGAGATGCTGCCCCGCCTGCAAGTTCTTGCCCGCTCCTCGCCAGAAGACAAGCGCGTCTTGGTCACCCGACTCAAGGCTCTTGGTGAAACCGTTGCCGTCACTGGCGATGGTACTAATGATGCGCCTGCGCTCAAGGCAGCTGATGTCGGTTTCTCCATGGGTATTTCCGGTACCGAGGTCGCCAAGGAGGCGTCTTCTATCGTCTTGATGGATGACAACTTCACCTCGATTGTTACGGCCCTGAAGTGGGGAAGAGCAGTGAACGACGCCGTGCAGAAGTTCCTTCAGGTATGCAGATACACAACCCTTTTCCTACCGATTGAAGCTAACATAATTGTGCCCAGTTCCAAATCACGGTCAACATCACTGCTGTTCTCCTCGCCTTCATCACCGCCGTCTCCGATCCCGACATGGAATCCGTCCTCACCGCCGTCCAGCTTTTGTGGGTCAACCTCATCATGGACACCTTCGCCGCCCTTGCGCTCGCCACGGACCCCCCGACCGAGAAGATCCTCGACCGCCTGCCGCAAGGCAAGAAGGCGCCCCTCATCACCATCAACATGTGGAAGATGATCATCGGTCAGGCAATCTTCCAGTTGACCGCTACCCTAATTCTTCACTTCGCCGGTAACGCCATCTTTGGCTACGACGCCAACAACGAAGACCAGCAGCTGGAGCTCGACTCCATGATCTTCAACACCTTTGTGTGGATGCAAATCTTCAACGAGTTCAACAACCGTCGCCTGGACAACAAGTTCAACATTTTTGAGGGCGTGCACCGCAACTACTTCTTCATCGTCATCAACTGCATCATGGTTGGCGCCCAGGTTGCTATCATCTTTGTCGGTGGCAAGGCCTTCCGCATCACACCAGGCGGTATCAGCGGCGAGCACTGGGCCGTCTCCATCGTTCTCGCATCCGTTTCTCTCCCAATGGCCGTCCTCATCCGTCTCTTCCCCGATCCCTGGTTCGAGAAGATTGCAAAGACGGTCGGCAGACCCGTTGTTATCGTCTATCGCGCCCTCGGCAGGTTCTTCACCACAATCGGTGCCGCTTTCCGTCGCAAGAAGACTACCGAGGCTGACGCCGTATCCGAGGACGCTGGTATTTCTTCAGGCTCTGATGACGCCAAGGTCGCTGCGCCCGAGATTGTCATCTCCACCCAGGAGGAGAACACAAACACCAGAGATGTTGAGAAGGCTCAGTGATCAGCCACTATCTTTGATGATCCGCTTCTTCACAGGCTCTTTATTTTGGCATATACTTCCATTCCTCTGTTACATGTTACTAGCTACGATACCATTTAGTGCGGCCTTTTGTTCTTGTTTCTATTTCCTTGGCACGATTCTACGACCGGATTCTGTTTTGCGCACGTATATATAACACTGGCGGTGGGTATTACAACATACACCAAAGACCAATCTAGTCTTGTTTCACGGGGCGTTACTGGGGCTCGGGGCACCAAAATTCACGTGTGGAATGGTTCGGCACACTGGGACGGAGGGCAAAACCTGTCATTACGGCATTAGAGAGCGATACTTGCATTATTGGTTACGATATGATACGATAGAATATGTTCGTTGCTTCGAGATACGGGACAGTATCCAGTACGATGAATTGAACAGAGCTTTTTCCACAGTGATCATATTCCAGTACTTTTTGACTTCTGATTGTAAATCTGATCCTTTCTAGCTAATGCTACTTGTATCGTGGTTGCCCGCTCACTACGAACTGCTGCACGGAATATCCGTGGGCGAATCCGTGGTCGAGACTGTGAGGTTATACACACTCAAACTCTCCGAATGCGGCTCTAGTCTCGGCGCACCCTGGGCGTCCTTCAGAACCGTAAACGCCGCGCTCCCGCTAAGAAAGACATCGTCAGTACCATCATCCCAAATCTGAGCATGCAGGATTGGGCAATTGAACTTACTAAGCCTGGGAACAGTTCCCCCCAACATACGTAGTCTGCACCACAATCTCCGCCACGAACGTCTTATCCGTCTCCGTCTCCCCGCCCACCGTCGCCCCGCGGATCAGATGCCACCACGACTTGTTCCCGTTCGGCGGGAGCAGCGACTGTTTGACGCCCAGCATGGCCGTCGCGCCCTCAAACGTCCGTCCCGCGAGGATCATCTTGCCGTCGGCGGGCCAGAAGTTGGTGAAGGTCGTGGTGGCGGCTTTGTCTTCTGATGTGCGGTAGTATTCAGAGACGAAGTCGGCGAAGGCGACGTCGACGCCGGCGGAGGGTTTGTAGGGCGCCATGTCGACCGCGGCGACGAGGGTTGCGGCTAGCGGGAGGAGAGTTGAGGGCTTCATGTTTGGTAATATGTTGTTTGCTTTCGCGGTAAAGACTGGGCTTGTTGGAAGGACACGAAGTTCAATAGTTGTGGGATTCTCGAGGAGTCAACGGATGCTGAAGCCTGTCGTCACTCCCAGGACATTCACTCAGCTCTTTAAAGACCCCGCCTTCGATCATACCAAGTCCGATCCAAAGCCCCTTCTGACATGGGGGTATCTCAGGCGGTCAGCTCCCCCCCGTCGGCAGCACCGGTCCAGCCGGGTGCTCCGAGGAAAAGAAAAGGGGCGGGCGGCGCGGCGTTCTGCGGGAACGGGAGGCCCTGGGAAACCTTCATCCCATGTCCGGCAGGGTGCACCCCAGCTCGGGCCCAGCCTTTTCCCGTATATCTGGGGACGATTTCCGCTGGTACCGTTGGTACTTTTGGCGATTTCTGCTTCTTGTACCCGCTTAATCGCCAGATGGTCGTCTATTAAGCTTTAGGACGGACCGGTCAACTTGGGCCGAAATAAGGGGCGAACCGGCCGCAAAAAGTGCAGTGTTGAGCATATTGCCCACTCAAAGAGCCTCTCGCTTTCGCCGTAGTAAGTACATAGGGGCCTGGGCGCTTATGCTATCATGATTATACAGTTCGTTCTGTCGCATTAGTATCTTTTGTACGAAACGCCGATAGTAGACACAGCCCTGCGTTGACTAAGTTACCCACCTCAACCCGTCGGTGTACACAGGCTATCGAGACGCATTTCATGTTTCTATAAAATCCCACCGGCCCCATCTCACGAGAGCCTCATTCTCTCTCAAGCAGCCTCAAGCATTACCCATTCGTTTCAAGCGCGTTCATAGAAGCCTCTCTTTTTCTGTGCCCTAATTGTTTGCACTTCTAAATCCTAAGATGCAGCTCACCTTTGCTCTCCTCGCCCTCCTCGCCGCGCGCTTCGTCGCGGCGATTGACTTCACAGACTACGACCCGCAGCCTGGTGTGCAACCCGAGTTCAAGGCCTTCCTCAAGGCGTAAGTTGTTCAACAATCTCCCAAAAGGAAGACTTCTCTCTTGATGAATGGATACTGACGTCTGTGATGTGTAGTCTCGTCACCCCCGCAGAAGATCCCACCGCCACGACGGCGTACACCGACTTCTTCACCGCGGACGGCATGCAGACGACGCTGAGCATCCACTGCGTCGGTGCAGATGCCATCACCAAGTGCAAGCAGCGATTCTTGCCCACCGATGGCAGCATGTCACTTACCGTATGAGAACACCTCCCATTCTTCATGCATATAACCTTCGTGCATGCAATGTGTTTGAATTGTCTGTTTGGCTAACAACATGGGACAGCACTTCCCCAATACGACGTTCATCGCAGACAACAATGCAACGGCGACTGTCTACGAGGCTCATGGACGAATTGAAAATAACTTCAAGGCGGGCAACTGCTCGCAAATTTAGTAAGTCAAGCATGAGGCTCGATTTAAAGTAGTATGAGTGAGAAAGCATTTTTCTGACCGGACTTGACTTTTAGCTACAAGACGCAGTACACTGTCCTCAAGACTACAGAAGGCGTTGACGCGGCGCCGAATTTGTCTACAAAGCCCGAGCACCAGGTGTACTGGTACCATGACTACTTCGTCAACCCGACGGGGGTGCCTTCCAACATCCCTTGCGATAGCTTGAAGGCGTGATCATGGGAGCTTTCCTCGTTTTGTAGCACAATAGCATAGCGTTGTGGCATGTGAATATTTGAATGAAGTAGACTACACTATAAGCCGCCTGGGGTAATGACTTGTGAATTGCATGTTGACATTGGCGAAACGATGTTTCCGGGTCTACGGATGCACAGAGTCCCTCTATGCTGGACTATGCCCGGTCTCATTTAGAACTCCCGGATTCTTAGAATGGTTGAGTATGATGCAAGATCTAAAGGGTATAGACTCGGCCTCACATCTTGCCAGATCCTATTCAGGCCCCACAGACTTGCTACAAGACGACTTCAAAGTTCTTATGTGCCAATGCAATGGCGCGGGAAGAATTAACTAATTAAGACTCGCTGCAAGTATTAAGAAGTCTCCCAGATCGGTCGGTTGTTGTGTATGACCATGAATCCCATGTGCTTCTTAGACTTCCCAAACTATCCCACCGGCTTCACATCATTTAACTCAAAATAATTTTATTCCCGCATCTCAGGCTTCTATGTCTCGAGCAACAGGCTGCTTCACTGTCCCTTGGTTTCCGTTTTCCTCCTGATTCGAAGCTTCACACCGTTTGGTGGAAACAATGCCTCTGTGAGCCAGTAGTTCTCCGGACGCTTGCCATTGTATTCAGGAGGGAACTCCACGTCATAGTGACCCAGAACGTAGGCGATGATCATCTTCAACTCAAAGTCTATCAGGAATCGACCGGGGCATGCGTGCTTCCCGTGCCCAAAAGGCAGATATTCGGGGCTCGTGGTGACAAAGGTGACCGGGGGCGCCTTCTCGTCCTTTGCGGCTGCATCCTCCCGCATACGGGAGAAGCGGAAGGGATCATACTTCAGCGGGTCTTCAAGCACCTCGCCATCCGTCTGAGCGGGTTGTCCGAGGAAGGAGATGAGGGTCCCCTTGGGGAGGTGATAGCCGTCGGGGGTCTTGAAGCCGTCGACCAAGACTTTTCGGAAGACGGCACGTCCGCCAAAGGAGTTCAGGCGCAGGGTCTCTCGGGCGACGCTGTCGGCTTTGAGCATCCTGCTCACTTTGGCTTTTGTCCAGTTGTTGTCTCCATCGGCGTACAGTACACGATCAACCTCGTCCCTGAGGATCGTGATGGTGTTGAACTCCGTGTCTGATCCCAAAATGTTGAGAAGCATATTGGTGGCTTGGATACTGGTCTGATGCATGGATCCGAAGTTGGCTGCGATCAGACGGCGCGTCATCATGTCCAAATCATTGAACTCTTCTTGGCGGTGGTCCTTGGCGTAACGGGCCATCATCTGCAGGTGATCTTGAGGCTCAATGTGGTCTGGGTCATCGCGAGCGTACTTCAAAGTCTCGAGACGCTCCTTCCAAAGCGGCTCGAACATCTTCCTGAGTCTGTTGATCTTGCCATGTATCGTGAAGTTGACAGCCCTACCTACAACAGGTCGAAGAACCCGAGGGCTGGCTCCGGAAGCGCCGGCGTTCATGATGAGCTGGTTGATAATATCGAAATTGAGATTGAGGTAGTCTTCATTACGACCTACTCTCCGTCAGCTTGATGTCTCTGTGCAGCCATCTATCTGGAGGGTACCTACAAAGGCCCAGGCCTGGGCCGATGGTGAAGCGGCTCGCAGCCTGCGCAACGACCATTTTCAACGACTCAAATAGGTCGATTTCCTTCCACTCCGGATTGGTCCCGAACCACTTGTCAAAGGCAGTACCGAGCTCCTCGTTCATGGCGGCGCAAATGTTCTCCAGGATCGCATTCATCTCGGTCTTGACCAGGTGACCTTGCCACGCATCCACCACATATCGGTCGTGGCCAAGAGCCCAATGAACCTGATCAACCTCTGCAAAAGCGGTGCTGGGATCGAGCTGGCTTTCCGGCTGTGTCTGAACCCATCGCATCGAGCTCGTGGGCATAATGACCTCATGGCGGAAACCGATGCCTGGAATGATTACCGGCTTTCCCTTCTTGGTATACTAGGCCTGAGGTTAGCGAACGGGAGGAGATGCGAGGACCAAGACAGGATGTACGTTATCGTAGGCCTCACGGAACAGACCCTGGCAATCGGTATAGAACCGCAAATACGTGCGGATGCTGAATCGTGTGGCACCATCAGGCTCGCCAATGAGCGGGATGCCCTTGGGGTAAGGGATGCTGAGAAATAGTCGGCTGATGATATACAGCAGTGCCACTGACCCCAGCGCAAGCAAGCCGACACCGGACAAGCTGGCAACTGGTGGGAGAAGCTGTGATATGGGCGCCATCTTGGTTCGCAAAGACAGACAATTACGCTGTCGTGGTGATTGAGCGAGAGAGATGCGGGATGTAATTCACCACATGTTGCCGGAAATCTGGGCGAAACATTCGAGCTTTAAAGGGGTCCCTAAATGCTGACAGATTCCATCCCATCTGCTGGCTAGCTAGAGTAAACCACGCTGGTTGGAGCTTTGAGCTGTAAAGTTGGAGGCGGGTGGGCCTCACAGGGAAGCCAAACAGGGATGATGATCCTCTTAGCGCGCCCGTTTCCACGTAGTCAATGGCGGTAATTTGGATGCCTGGGCAAGCTGGGCTTCATAGGGCTGTCTCGGATCCCGTGGGAGTAATCAAGTATCTTTCGCACTCTGCTAATATGACTCTGTATGTCTGATGGGCAACATGAGCCTCTTTTTGTCATTCTGTATCAATACATGCACAAACAATCATAACCCCAATAGCTCCAACTGGCCAAATCCTTGGTAACGATGAAATAAAGTTAGTTAATCTTGAGCTCTTAGAACAATAACAGCATACATATTTGTATTAAACACATTTATGACCTACTCTGTCGCCTTTGTCATTGTTTGGGTAAGGACAGCAAATGCCACTTCTCTTTACACATTCGAGTCAATATCCGTACTATCTACGGCTGTCCTGCCCCAGCACGCCCAGCAGAGCCTGCCGAGACCCTGATCCTTAGCGCGATGTCAGCTCCCAGAGTTTCCACTCCAGACCCTAGCGCGTGTAAGCAGCCACTCTACCGTAAACGGAAATCCGCTTTCTCTCACTTATCATTGGGCGAAGGCGATCTCTCAACGATTGGCTTGATCGGAAAAACGTCGCTTTCCAAATTGCCGGGTTGTCATTGTCGAGATGGCCAGGGGTGATGCAACCTTGTGTCTGACATACAGCTATTGGGTGACGCAGCATCCTGAGAGACTAAAAAGTCAACATGAGGCTCATTCTCAACCACACATGCATGATAACTAGCCAAAAATGGACGATCTGGGAATCGAACCCAGGACCTACCGCATGCTAAGCGGTCATTATACCACTAAACCAATCGCCCAGTCATGATCTAGCCCGGACTTGAACCGGAGACCTTCAGTGAAACAGGGGGAGAGTTCGATGAGAAGATCTCAAACTGTTAGACTGACGTGATAACCAACTACACCACCAGACCATCTTATGATGAAGAGATTGCGGAGTGGATAGCTCCAAGAGTGGCTCCCAGAGTCCCGATGCAGAAGTTCGTGAAGCGAAGAAGATGGTTGGGTACGAGTTGTGGAGAGTTGAAGCTTAGCCAAGCCTTGTCTCACGGATCCACAGCTGAGGAAGTTAGGCTTCATTCGAGTGCGGACAGCTTGAAAGAGCGGGTAGCTGTTTACCTTATGTGCATCATTTCAAGCCAAATCCTACGGAGAGAACGTATCATGCCTTGACCCGGATCATTTACAATAATACTGTGAGCCTGGAACGGAGAATGAAGTCAGCCTCAATTTCCGAAGCGATCATCTCTTTGTTAGCAACAGAGTAGGAGGATAAAAATTCAATCCCCGCAAGAATGGAATTGCGGGGAAGTACATCACGACTCTTGTGTCGTGTCTGCGATTCAACGCTGTTGGCGATTGACAGAGCAGAGCTCAAGTGGGCAATCGCCATTGCACTGTGACTCATTCACTTTTTCCAAAAGACTTAACAGTACCCAACGGGTCTGAGAGAGAAGGTTTACCTGCTTTGGTCATCGATCGCTCAGTTCAAGAGGTGTTGGCTGTATTCCAACCACGATTCAAAATAGCCTGAGTTTGAAGGCAACCGTGTATGGGAGTGAGGCTTATGAGTGAGGTGAGTATCAGTACGATAGAAGACCGTTGCATGGAACTTTTGAATTCTTCTATATTCGATTGAAGCAATCTCACAGATACGTTGACAACCGGGAAACGGGACGTCATCGTTCATTTTGGGAGTGATAGTCGTCATTCAAGCGGCTCAAGTTTGGCGAGACTGCGTAGACTACAACAATCGAATACCAGCTTAGATCTCCTATGAATTCTCACAGAAGAGTCTGTTGTACGTCAAGATCATCAGCAGGTTATTGCTAGCCTAACGAAACTCGGGTAGAAAGCACTTACACGCCATGCAGGTTTGGGAATAAAAGGTGAAACTTCAAGACGGGCAATATATAACAAATGTTCCTACAGTACGAAGTTTACGAAAATATTTAAAGACATTGATCGAACAATTAAATCTTAAGGAGGAACTATTGCATCTAAATAAAGTCGCCTCCCAAAATGCTTTTGAAAACAACGCCGGTATTGAATCATCCCATCTCTTTCCATCTCGGATATCCTATCTCATCTTAACTGCTATCTGAACTGTTGTGTCCCGCAAAACCGTACGGATGTCTATAAAGTATTGACGTGCAGTGGTTCGTCGACATACTGGATTGGTGATGGTAAGCGCTAGCTTTTGGTTCATAGTAGGTAGTGCCTTTACTTACAATATTTTATGACTTAAGCTCAGCATTTGGTGTCTTATCCTTGATCGTAATCTTGAGCTCTAGCTGATCCTTCACCGAATGGCTCGTAACCGAAATGTCAACATCCATTGAGCTCGGAAACGTGTACGGATCTGACGGGTCGTCTGAAGGAAAGAACCAGTCCTTGATTGTCGTGCCGTCGTTGTACTTCACTTTCCAATGGGACCGAATAGGCTTGAAGAAGCCGCGCTCAGGAGACTCAATGCCGATACAAAAAGACGTCAAGGCTTCCAGCTCTTGCCAGCAGAGCATCACGTCGTCGAACCCGCTCTTCCCAAAGTAGCACCCCTTTGTCCACGACATGACTGATTCTCCATCTCTAGGCGTCAAAGTGACCTGACTGATGTCCTGAATCATCCGGATATCGGGGGACGTTGGTACATTGTGCTGCGTGAGCTCGAAGCTCTGTGACGCCAAGTTGCTAAATGTGAGGGAATGATCGGGACTAATCATTCTGATGTTTGGGTTGTACATCCTAGGGCTTCCGTGCGAAAGGCGCGCGCTTGGGTGCTATGTGCTGAGTATAAGTATCCGTAAGGGTGCAAGGATGGAGTGGTCGCGGCGTCGTCGGGATTTCTCGCCAAGCGTGGCAGAAACTCAGTAATGTGGCGGAAGTCCGGATGAAGATGAAAATGGGCGCTTACAGGGGGGCACATTCCATTCATAAGGCAAAGACATGTGAGAGATGGCTTCCCCAAAAACGCCAGGAAATCTGGTAGCTACCAATGGTTGACAAATTCCCGGGGCAAGGCGCTGCTTCCGGTAAGGAACGATACTTGGTTGGCTTACGGTGACGCTCTCGTGACTTGCCATTGCATTGTCGTTGTCGAATGAATCAGGAATGGTTTATGAATATGATGGGACGGCTGGAAGTGGCAACGACTATTACCAGTTTTGGTTTGGGATGCTTCCGTTTGCGGAATGAGTGCGCTCGTTGCCGTGCCTGTCCAGAGTCGACTTCTGGCTTACGCTGGGCCGGAATGCGGAAGTCTCAAGTCATTCACATCATCTCGGCCGATTAGTAATTCTGGGTCTTCAACACAATCGCACCACCACGGGGTTTGATGTGTGGCCGATCTTCTGGTAAATCTCAAGTCCATAAGAAGGTTCTTCCCATGGAGAGATACTGTCGGGGAACCACAGGCGATGGCCGAGTGTTTCCTCTTCTTTAGCTCTCCTACTCATTCTGTCGTTTTCCGAACAAAGGAGTGGAATGTTGGGGGGACTGGCTACGGGCCTCAGCCAGTGAGCATTCCCCGGATTCATTGTTGAGCGAGTCAATACTAGTACGAAGGCGTGGAAGGGTCTCGACCGTTGGCTGAAGTCGGGTATACAAGTGAGACAAAGCTGGGGCCCAAAATTGTCTGTTCTTCACGTTGAAAAGCTTCGTCGAGCACACTGGAAAATGATTGTTGGAGGACCTTAAGTCAAATGTGCTATCATTCCTCATGAACTTCCGATACACTCTCCTTCAAATATATTTGAGCTCAGGCTCGTATGAAATATGTGGTATTAATCATTTGCTATGTTGGAGAGCTTAAGTTTATCACGGTTCCAAGCAAGTCCCAAGCTCAGCCAATAAGTCCTCAGCCAAGACATCAATAGCGCCGGTTCTTTCGTCTTCAATGCCGAACGAGAGGAACAAAACATCGTCCAAGAATCCGTGATACCTCTGGTCTTGCCTCTTCCAGCTCATGGAGGTTACGTAAAACATGTCGGACCCTCCACCAAGTTTCTCTTCCCGCCCGTGTATCCATATGGGTCTCTTTGACATGGCGAATACCTCGAACGGGGCCTTTTGTCTGAACACCATCACATACGGTTCGTACTCGCTGTGGAACTGATAGAAAGTTTTGTGCTGGAACACTGTAAAGACAAAGGTATTGTCACTAGTGGCTTTGCACGTTGGGTCGCTACGCTTGCAAAACGTAATGCTCAGCGAGTTCGTCGCCTGGTGTATTGATTCGAGATCCGGCGGGAGCTGCGGCATGTACTTGCTCATGCAAGCCTCGTCCCCGACAGCCAACGGCCCGAGGTTCGGGCCTACGGAGCCGTCCGCGTTCAACTTCGCAAAGACTCGCTTCGGCGCCACGTCGTGGTGGACGTAGACTGCGCCCTCTTCGTCCCAGAACGGAAACCAATTCTTCTCCATCATGCCCCAAGGCGCAGGACGCTGGAGCTCCGTTCCCAGCGCGAAACCTTGATCCAACGACATCTCGAAGCCCCAGTCTCCGAGAGTTCGGAAGTCCTGCATGAACTGTCCGAAGCAGGCGAATATCGAGTTGGAACCGTATACGATGAACGGGGCTTTGGGTCCGTACAAGACCCTCGCATCGTGAGGCCCAACGTTCATGGCAATGTAGGCCAGTTTCGGTGGGCACTTGTCATCACCGCTCTTCGTGGCTGCGATGGGTAGAACCGTGGGCGCATCGACGCAGACGAGACCTTCCAGCGTGAAAGTGGCATTACAAGTGATTTCCACATGCTCAGAGTCGTCGTGATTAATTTTCCGCCTTTGCGCAACAATAACATAGGTATTCTCAATGGTGGGATGCGGGATGATATTAGGATTGATCGCGCCTTCGTCGTCAAATCGTATGGCGAAAAACTTCTTGTTGAAAGTTGACGTCGAGAATATCTCATGATGTGTTTGTTTTGATGCGGGCGGATGCTCAGGCGCGCCATCTACAGGTTGTACCTCCGTCGGTACGTCCGAAGACGCCGGCCCCGAGTGCGGTTTGAGTTCATCGCCTTGTCTCCAATTCGGTGCAAAGATGTGATCGAACCAGGAATTGAACCCCGAAGCAGAGTCTCTGAAGTCGAGACACCGTATACCGACATAAACGAGAAACAAGAAGGGGCCTACGATGAGGATGACGCGCTTGAAGTCTCTAGCTATCATCGCGAGGTGGGAGGATTGTCTGCATGCGCCGAGGTGTCGAGGGACAAGCGACTGGAACGGACGGCACGTCGAACGTGGGGTCGGAGCATGCAGAGTCAAGTGATCAAGCTAGTCCTATTGACAGATAACCTTGCGGTGAATGTGTAGGTAGGCACTTGGGGCGCTCAATTCCGATAGTGAGGTTACGTGAAAGAGCAGGTCTGGGGCTTTGGGGGTTGCGCGAAATGTCCCCGCAACATGTGCTGACCGAGCTCCAGGACGATGGATCACGATTGCATCACAAATGAGAGTTCCAAGGGATGTGGGGGACCTGGAATGCAAGGCTGTCGAAGTAAAGCTAAGATGAGAAACACGGGGAGGTGTTCGGGAGATGTATGCCGTGTGATGGGGATCGACAGACGAGCAAGTGAATACTACCATGGAAGTTGGAGCTTTCAACTTCCCCTCACTTACAAGTTGACAAGCGCGGCCGACTATTGCTCGTCAACCCCAGCCACCCGCATTTTTAGTGCGAAGGGTCAGGTAAACTGGGATGCATGCACAAAGCTTAGTGATGGAGTGTCCCTCAGATCAACTCTCAAGTTTGATCAAAGATTAGCTCCTCAAGCAGATTGGTGAATGGTAAAGCATAATCTCGCTATTTCGAGCATGTGAGCATGTAAGTTGCCTCGGTGAGCTGCGCGAACCCCTGGCCTGAGTTGCAATCCTATTCCCCTCACGAGCTGCCACACCACTTCCATTTTGGGGAAAGCATCCGCTCTTGCAGCGTCATTGGGTGTGATACAGCTGCAAGTCGATAGGAAAAGCAGACACAGGAGAAATTGAGGTTCGGGCGGGAAGGGCAAACCCCCAACTTTACCTGCTGCAGGCTGAGTCAACTAGACAGCGCGTGGCGGACTCAGTCCCGCCAGTACCGCTGGCTCAGCCTGGCGGCCCGCGTGGCAAGTCTATCGTCGCTGCATACTAGACGGGCTCTAGAGTTCAACTAGAATAGGCTCAGGTCCATGGTTCTGGATAGCAGCCAATCCGATTGCACCGTGACACTGAGCACCTCGTTTGTCTGAGCGTCTTCGTCTAGTCTTGCGTGGTGGAACAGTGTTGTCAATTGATCAATTATAAGTGGTTTACACTAATCATTACTTCGTGCTAGATGCCGTAAATGTCTCGGCAGTCCCGAAATACATGTGCCCGAACGCCAGATCCCCCTCAGCCTATCTCAAGCCTTTGCTGGCGCTGTTGGCAGTGTTTTCCGGTAGAGCCACTGAGCAATTTTCACACTAGGCTCATCAATGAACCTCGTGACAATCTCAGCAATCCAAAGAGTGACCGGAAGAAGTATCACATGAGGAATGAGGAAGGCCGGTTCCAAGCCGAGGGGCCCAACCTTGGGTAACGGAAACCTGTCGACTAGGTGCGCGAGATGTTGTCGCTCCGTCTCTTTGTGGTACCCGACGGCTGTGTAGAGTCGATCGCCCAGAGTTCCCAAAACGGGTCCGTGGACCAAGTAGAGGGCAAAGGAGATTCGTCCTAGATACTGACAGAAGCGTGTCTCGAAGAATCTCTTCAGCCACCAAATTCGTGGAACCGCAGATACCAGCATTGTGGCTGCCCAGAAGAGGTAAAACCACTTGTAATCGAAGACGGCTTGAGGTTTGAGAAACGACAAATAGTACCACCCGCGGTTCTCTCGCATCTTCATGACGTCTCCGGTGTAAGATGGGATACCACCGAGATACATCGAAACGGCGAAGAGGTGGTAGTAAATGAAAATTTTGGCGGGTTCCAGTCGCTGAAAGAAGTTGGGGAGATCGTTCTTCTTCGCCAGGAGGTCGAGGTCGCAGAGCATCATGCCCATGACAAACATGGCTCCGTACCATCCATCGGCGATGTACATGAAGTAAAAAGCCAGACCAGCCTCACACCAGAGTCGAGCGTTTCTGGTACACCTGGAAAATGCGACCAGAGACGTGTAGACGATGACTGAGCCCTTCATTTCAACAGGGATGGACCAAAGGTGTGGATTCCAACTGAAGAAAGGACCGCCTCCAGTGGTGAAGACGAAGCTAAAGTTCTTCAGCTCGCAATAATAGAGCCAGACGTCATCTCTCCAAGTTGGCGCACGCTCAATATTGTCGACCCAGATATTGAACATGTGGAGGAATGTCATGTAGAAGAAAGTTGTCGCCGCCAATGGGATATAAAGTCTTAGCCATCGCCTGAATAAGGCTGATCCGACATTTTCTGCGAATTTTCCGTGGTCTCCGGACTGGATCAAGCTCAGAGGTTTAGCGGAGAGGACGTAGCCGGATATGACGAAGAAGACTGATACTGAGAAGTGGCCTCCAGTAAATAAGTGGCGGATGCCAGGAAAGGCAATAAAGTGATATTTGTTTTCGTATCCAAAGGCGTTTTCAAAGATTCTGTTTTGGACGTGAGGTTCATGAGCCCATAATTGATTGTGGTGCCAGTACACCAAGAAGGCAGCGAAACCTCGCAAGCCGTCAAGGTATGCTGTGGGCCGCAGCTTCTCTGGATTTTTGGTGTCTTTGATGGGCCAGAAGAAGGTGCTCAGACTGGAGATATTTAGTCGAGATGGCCGCCTAATTCGTACGAGGGAAGCAGGCTTCCAGTCGCTTTCATCTGCGAGCCATTTGGACTTGTCGCACCAGGTAGGCTTAACTTCATCCCACTCGTGGCTGTCGAGAATGCCTTCGTTTCGTGGAGGCATCTTCAGGCTGTTGAAGACTTTGCTGAAGACAATGAATCGTGTAAGAAGGAGTCTTTTCAGCCTCAAGCTGACACTTGATGCGTGCTTACGGTCGAGGACGGCCGCCGGGTGTCCTCGCTTGCGTGATGCTGCAGGAAGAGGTGTTCTCGACCCTTGCCTCTCCGGAAATTTTGATGATTTGGGAAAAGAGGCACGGGTTCTTTTCAGTATCAACGAATCCTGCACGGGCTCGTCGGCAGTCGTCAGCCAGGAGGTTGCTCCTTGAGTCCTGGGGCGGGTGTAGTCCGGCTTGGCGTTGATCGACTGAACCTTGCGTTGCCTTCTCCGCGCAAAGTCAAAGGCCCATAGACTTAGTTCGTGTCAACAAGTCGTTCATCCAGAGTTTCACAAGCCAGGAAAAGAGGAATAACCAGCTGAACCTGACAAAGATTCCTCGGTCGAGCCAAGACAGCATGCGGGGTGGCGCTGTAAGTCCAGGATCAGAGGTCCACAATCCTTCCGGGGGCTCCTGGTTCGATATGCGGGGGATAGACCGGGGTAGAATGCGGAGAGCCAGGCTAAGACTCCAAAGTCCAGCGACGAAATGATCAAAGTTAAGCGGCGTAGGAGCGATATCACTCATCTCCCTCATCGTGACGCATCTCCCCCTTCGTTGGTTGCAATCAAACCGGGCGTCCCTGGCAGCTATCACAAGCGGCGTAGCATTCAGTCGGCCTAGCTTGGGATTATCATCCGATACACAAACCGCTCCTCCGACTCGAGCACTCGGCCGGTTGAGCAATCGAGAGGGCAAGAATCCCCTCGTGAAATTTGCATTATCCACCTGCAAGCCCACCTGATTTGGAAGGTTCCACCGCCTTTGCCTCCCCTGACTATCAGAGCCGTTGGTGCCGGTGGCCAGGATCGGCCCAATGGACGCTCGAACAAGCTCAACGTCCCGGCGCTATTATGGCGCAAAATGCGACCAGCTGCAATGAGTGGTCCTCATCACATCCCCGCTGGCCTGAATGGCTTCGATCCTCCAGCTGTCTGACTCTTTGGTAGTGTAAGATGGTGGCTTGCTCGCTGCTATCCGGCCGCACGAATGAGGATAGGAACCGTTGAGCTCATGTTCCAGCCTTGCTCGTATCGAAGGACAGTGAGAGCAGCCACTCACACACACGGAAGGTCCCAAACTTAATTAGATAACAGAGGCAAGGCAGTGGCGTCAGTAAGGCACAGACGGGATGAACACGATGCGACTTTACTTTTGGTGACCTCGGCGTTCTCCCTTCTTTACCCTGGCACCCGGCTCGTGACAATGATGCGCAACTGATAGGCGAGGAGAGTGGGGGAATGGGCCGGAACAACTGTAGGGAAATCCCCGCCTCGGCGATGAGGATACTCTGGGGTTGTGTGCCTGCATGGAGAAAGCTCCTCAAATTTCGACATGCATCCCACTCGTCTTGCTTGTTCTTATGCTCGTCGCATCTTTGTCAAAGCTTGGTTCAAAAGCTTCTTCGGTCGAACACCTCCACTTCTCTCTGGACGACTTCGGACAACATGTCTTCACCCATCATGAGTCCATTGAGTCCATTGAGCCCTACGGGCTCGACCAAGGCAAACTTGTTCAGAAACAGAGTCCCGACACAACTCAGGAGATGTCTGCCTTTGTACATTGCTTGTGTATGCATAATTCTACTCGTTCTCAACATCGACTTGTTCGGGTCGATGCCCAAACCTGTCCACCTCTCCAAGCGCGGTGGTCGCCACGCAACAGCAAGCACTCGTGGATTCCCTAAGAAAATATGGCAGAGTTGGAAGGTTGCGCCCTTCTCATTCGAAGCCGAACAGATTCTCACTGCACGGACTTGGACGGACAAGAACCCTGGGTACCGGTATGAAGTCCTAACCGACAACAACGACATGGAGTATGTCGAAGAGCACTACGGCCCTGACGGATTCGATCGCCCGGATATCGTCGACATGTATCGCAACGTTAATGCCACCATCATCAAGGCGGACTTGCTCCGCTACATGATCATGTACGCCGAGGGAGGAGTGTACGCCGATATTGATGTCGAGGATCTCCGACCTGTCAGCCGATGGATCCCGGAAAGATACAAAGAGGCCGACCTCGATCTCGTCATTGGCGTCGAGATTGACCAACCGAACTTCAAGGACCATCCCATTCTCGGCAAGAAGTCCATGTCCTTCTGTCAATGGACATTCATGTCGCGACCTGGTCACCCCGTCATGCTGAAGCTTGTTGAGAATATCATGGCATGGCTTACTGAGGTCTCCAAGAACCAACGTGTGCCCATCTCAGCAATCAAGCTTGACTTTGACGAGGTCATCAGCGGTACCGGTCCCTCGGCCTTCACCAAAGCCGTCCTGGAAGTTATGAGTGCGCGTTCTCGATCCGGGCCAGTTACTTGGGACACATTCCACGACATTGACGAGTCAAAAGTTGTCAGCAACATCCTCGTTCGCGATGTCGAGTCCTTTGCCGCCGGCCAGGGACACTCGGATTCTGGGAACCATAACTCCAGGGGCGCTCTTGTCAAGCACCACTACCACGCCTCCAACTGGCCGAGTCGTCACCCCCGCTTCAGGCATCCTATCTTCGGCGAGGTAGAGAGATGCAACTGGAACATTGAGTGCGTCATCAAGTGGGACCAGGACATCGCCGCCTTCAACTCTCTCTCCCCCGAGGAACAAAAGCAAAAGGTCGAGGAGCATGAGAACCTTCAGAAACTTCAGGCACAACAGAACCAGCAAAAGCTGGAACAACAAAAGGCCGCTGAACAAAAGGCTGCCGAGCAGCCTTTGATGTTCCCGCCGCCTCAACAGCCTCTTCAAATACCTCCTGTAGATCCTGCACAACAAGAGGAGCTGAAGATGGTATGAGAGGGCCCAATTCACAGACCCGAAAGTCTGCAAACTATCCTCACGGCGCCGTCGCCTCGACGGTTAAGATCGCCGCGTCGCTAGCAAGAATAATGACGCGCAAGATCGATTCGCGCGCTCGAAAAGCAATGCGACAAACACGAAGCATTACGAGTCAAGAGTGCGAGATATGGTTATGAACTTGAATTTTCCCCGGTAGTCAGCCGGAAGAGCTGCGCGGGATATGGTACATGACGTGTGGAATTGGGTGGCAATTGCATGATGATCCTCTTATGTCTACAGGTTGAGCATTTGGACTCAACCTGGATGCTAAGGTTCAGGACATCATGGCCACTCGCATGATTAGACACATAAATAGCTGAGAGCGACATACACAAGACTAGGAACGAAGATACCCTTCACAACTCCTGTACATACCTTAGTAGCGCATTTTCAATACCGGCGGCATCTTTACACAATGCTATATGTTCTGACTTGGTTCAAATCAATGCTCCATCAGTTCAAAATTCCTCAAGCCGCATAGTGCTCTGCTTTGTATTATTGCTTTGGGCTGACAGCGCTTATCAGTTGGATGTTTAATCACAGCTGAACAAGCGTCTCTCAAAAAATGAAAATTCTGATTTCATGATATATACGATGAAGTTAATGCTATGTGCTTCCAAGCCCTCTCGCACCTCGATCCGGACTTGAACCCAAATTCGGGACGATTTATGTACAAATTTCGGGCTTCCATGACTTCAAAGCCTCCACATGCCTCGATTACCCTGCTGAACCGCTACTTTAACTCTTTAGAAGGTAAGCTTCTGGCCAGCCTGTCCAGGGACGGTAGCAACGACATTGGCGGAACCGAGCAGGCTGTAGGAGTAAGGGGGAGAGTTGGCGTTCATGGTACCGACGGGGGCCAGGTTGGAAGCACCACCAAGATCGTTGTCAATAGCAACAGCGTATCCAACGATGTCGGAGTCCTGAGAGGTGATGGGAACAGTGACGTTCTTGAAGACGTTGCTCTGAATCAGGACCTGGGCATTTTGGCGTGTATTGATTCCAGAATTACCGCTAGACACGAGGCGTTAGTCATATTGATCTTTGTCTTGGGAGTAATAATGTAAACTTTAAACATTGAGGAGGTACATACTTGAGGTAGTAGGAGTTGTAGACGTGGCCAGTACCGAAGCGCAGAGACGGGCCGCGAGAACCGAAGTTAGCCCAGTAGTTGTTGGCGTAGGTGATGCGCAGGTGGCCGCTGTCCTCTGCACCGTTGTTCTCGCTGTGTCCGACCAAAGAAGTCTTCCAGTGGTCGTGGAAGTATGTGCTGATGAATGTCAGCAAGCATCCCTAACTCCGGCTGAGTAGAAGACCTACTAGGAAATGGTCATGTAGTCGGCAGCGTGGGAAGCATCCACGAGACCGTCATAGTAGTCCTTGTCAGATACAAGGGCCGAAGAGAACTCGCAGTGGTCGATCCAAACATTGATGCTTTCCTAAGGAGAAAAGATCCGTCAGGTTTGATGCTCGGCATTATAGCTCATCTAAGAAGGCTGCTCACCTCAATCTTCACGCCATCACCAGTTGAGGCAAGCACGTTGGTAGACTTGATGTTGCGGATAATTACGTTGGACATGCGGCGGACGTGCAGTCCAATGCCGTTGAATCCTGCAAGACGAGAAGGTAAGACAGGGTGCGGGCAACATGAGGTATGAATGATTCTCACCTGCACCAGCAGATGCGCCAATGACGGACTTGTTGCTGCCGATGCGAACGTTGGCAGTGCCGCTGATGGTGCCCTTGACAACCACGATCCTTGCGGCGGTATCTTTCTCGTTGACAGCGGCAGTGAACTCGGCCAGGGTAGAGACGGTAGTGACCGTGCCACCGGATCCTCCTGACGTTCTACAACACTATTAGCTCTGCTGCGTTTCAAGATCCCTCGCTATCAAACCTACCCGCCGTTCAGAGTGGCATAACCGAGAGTCGCCTTGTCTGAGATGGAGGCTCGCTTCACGAGGTGGGCCTTCTCCGCAGTGTAATCGACGGTAGGGGTCGGAGTCGCAGCCGCAAGGGCGAACAGCGTAGCCAAGGCGGAGGTGATCTTCATCTTGCAAGTCCGTGTGCAACGATGATGATTAGAAGGGTATCAAGGGGAATTTTAGGGTCTGCCAACAGATATCAAGGTCGAGGGTAGAGGATGCCGAGCAATCCAGAACCCAGAAACCATGTTTCATTACCATCTCTTTATACAACATCTTCAAGCTTTCGATCGGATGCTTTTCCGTCAACGCAACAGGGATACTATGATCACGAGATGGTGCTGAGTCTCCACGGATTACGGTTTACGCTCACGAAATGCAGGCATAGCTTCAGGCTAGCCCTCGAAACCTGAGATTCAAGGTACGAGAAGGTAACATTGATGGACGGATTAGAAAACATGATCATTCCGCGAATGGCAGCGTGCTTCTGGTATGGAGCTCATCGACCCCTCGAGCTGGTCTCCCGCTGGCTCTCCAGCTGTCGTAGAGAGACCCCTGTTCCGTAGGCAAATTGCGAACCAGAAGTAGTGAGATTGCCCACGCTAACGCCATCGAACACAGGCGAATCACAAAAGAGGAGGCGCCGTCCAAAACAAGCTTGTTTACTAAGTTGAAGCTTTCCGTCCGCTAATGACTTCTTTATTCGGTGGGGAAACGTCTTGTGTCATGTAAAGTTGAGCCCTTGACTGCAGGACGGGGGGTGGGTGTCCGGGGTAAACTTTTGGGAAATTTCCTCAAATCAGCATTTCGCCTTGGCCCAGCGTGCAGGTACCGGCAGCATCCGGGAACCAGACACTTACCGTCGAAGCCGTGGCATCTCATAGAGGAAACAGAGCACAGAATATGATTGGCGATTTCCAGGTGTTCATGCAAGGGCGGCAGTTTGAAGACGCGTCCATGCAGCTGAGGCCATTGTTTGGACGGAATTGACAAGTGGGAGTTTTTCCCGTGGTGAGAAGAGGTCTGCAAGTGAATAGGATGGAAACGAGGAACAGCACGAAATTTGAAGGACCGTTGTGCGATTGTGTGCAAAGATTCTACATTCTTCAACTTTATGCCTTCAATATGAGCCTGCCCTTGAAAGTAAGGTAGTACGAAATATTCATTGCCAAGTAACAGCCGTTGCACAATAGAGCGTAAGGCATGTTCGTTCCTCACTAGTCACAACGGGTACTTAGTACGTAATCTGACAGATGTTCTCTTACAAGATGGTCGCATCATTCTTGTAAGCATATGCGGGTAACCTTGTACTTTCGCCTCCGCGCAGGTATGATGCCGGACATCCGAACACGAGCAGTAGTTTTATTCGGGTACAGATTGCCGAAATATCTCGGCTTCCAACCGTCTGGAACTAAGATTCCAGAAGGAATAAGATCGACAATACTTGAAGAGCCCCATCTAGCTGTTGAATTATCGGCTAGCGTAGTTGGAGTCTGCGACATGAACGACGTCGAATTTAACGGAACCTGACATATCTTGGCATCGCCAAGATGGGCTTGGCACGAAAGGTTACAGCCGGATGATGAAGCGAACTGTTGCTGCTGGCGAACAATCTCTAGGGTGCTTCGACATCTACAGAATTTAGAAATAAATGACACACATAAGGCTTTCCAACGTCAAGGTTTCATTGAATCTTCTCCAAAAGTCTTGCGCCTTCTGCAAAAGCTAGCAGTTGTGGAGACTAAAAATCACTACTCAAACTTCAGAGTCCTCCGAAGGCTTTGATTCGTGGAGAGACTTTATATGTATTGAACATCCGCTTCCGAACATATTCTAGCCAATGATAACACATTTAAAAGACATCGTGTATTGATACCTACGAAGTCGAACTACCATACCTAACTAAACAAATAGCAATCTCTGAATGGATCTACTTAAGATGAGGGGCGTTGTAGCGGTGCGTAGTTCGACTCCACAGCTCATTACCACTCATCTGCAGTTCGATCCCATCCATGTAGGTCTTCAGTGCATCAGAGCAGCCCTCCTGGAGCTTCTGCTGGACGATGGCATCGTGCTGTCTCTCCCACTCCCGAATCATGACCCAGCAGGTTCGCTTCGCGCCATCGTAGTCAAGGCCACTCTCATCAGCCAGAGTTTGTACAATGTTGCTGACGATGGAGCCCTCAGCCGCGATATCTTTGGAAGCTCGAAGCTCCTTATCCCAGCTCATGACATCGTTGATGACGGAGATGTGGTGCGTGTAGTTGAGTTCCAGATCAGCAACCGAGGCCAATTCTTCTTTGCTGAGGTAAATTGCATCCTGGAAGCGCTGAGTAGCTAGAAGCACGCTGCAGAAGGTCAGATGATCGAAGCTTGAAGTTTAACATCATGAGACTTACGCAGAAGCGACGTCGAGCTCTCGATACTTGAGATATTCTGCCACGCTCTTCTTCGCCAGACGATCCTTGTCATTTTGAGACCGCCAAAAGGCGAAAGTAGGCTCTTCAATGTCATCCGAGAGCTTCTTGTCGATGGATCTCATATCTTCCCAGACATTCAAAACCATCTTCTCAATCGGCGAATCTTGGGCAGGCGCCGTCTCACCCTTGACGATAGAGATCAACCGCTCGTTGTAGGACGAGCCTTCCTTCAGTGAGAGATGCTCCAGCAAGTCTAAAGATTCAGAAGATTAGACCATACTCTTGACATGGGCACAAACAAGTCCCACTTACCATCAATAAGGAAGAGCATAACCATGAAGCGACAAGCTGCACCGACCCGGTCCTCGCGGGCCGTCGGGTATTGACACAAGTGCCAAGTTGGCAGGCCTTCAGCAACAAACTGGAGCTTGGTTCGCTCATCAGGGAAAGGCCAGTTGTTGAGGAAGTAGTTGTTGACCTCCATGGTGATCCTCAACCCAGATGGGTGAAGTCGTCCCACCATGTGGGAACGTGGAGGGTCATTGTTCTTGCGTCTAGCCATTGGGGCCTCTGTGATAGCCATATCAATTCTGGAAGGCATTATACGATGGGCTGTAAGGTAAAGAAGCTTGAGGAGATAGTTCGCGGTGATTGCTTTTGTGATGGCTCAACATAAAATCTTTTCCAAGCATCGCGGGAAAACTTGGCCCTTTTATGTGAACAGAGACTCATATCAATCTTCTCTTAATGAGACCCAGGAGATCTAGCCGTACCATCTCCTCCGGACTTCTGAGGCTCAAGTCCTGAAGGGTCAGGACAAAGCCGGCCACATCAGGCTGCCTACTCGAGGGACGAGGATCCGGAAATGCACCTCCAATCTCACATCCTGTGTCGAGGTCTCGGCGATGTTCCATTATGCAAGGGCCTTATTGAATTTGGACAGGAGCCACCGACGAAGCAACCTTCGTGTTTGTTGCGATAGTAGTTGGTCTTAGAAATCCCCCCCGTTCGTCGCATCGCCCAATGGCGGCCCTTGCCGGTGAATCTGACAGCTTAGCTACTTTCTTCAGCTAACGAACAACTGATCTTGGCAAGGATCGTGACGCCACAGGGACTGACTTGTTGTTGGGGTAGCAAACACACATTCCGCCTCCGGAATTAGATGGATTTATCCAGGCTGGGAGGGAGATGTGTCGCACGTTGATAGCGCGCACTGGGGCGACGCCAAAGGCACACCGCAGAAGCTGAAATACGATGGGGCCGGAGATACATACGTGAGTTCTTGGCTTGAGATAGTCTTGTTGATTCGTCCCTTTGACTCCATCATCTCCATGTTGGTTGCCAATGTTTGCTCATTGTCTCAAGCAAACTTCATTATACAGTGCACCAACATGAACGTGCCGCTTAAGCGCAAACACGGTGCCCATACTATGGACCAATCACGAATGCTCCGCATGGTTTACTTACTCTCAGGGTCTCAGACTCTCGAATAACCATCCATTCGGAGTTTCGGGATTATGGAAATCTTCTGCATGGCTCAGCATCGGGAGTGGCGACATTGGCACTAAAGGGTGGTCGGTTTCCTGTCAACCAAGATAGATGGTGTGCATCTTACGCCTACATAGACCATTCTTCCATGAGCCGCATAGCCTTGCCAATATGCAAGAAGCACCATAACCATAGCACTCGTTGAGCTCAACCGGATGACCAAACCGCGTCGACACAAGGAAAATAGCTATTCCAAGAAAATCCCCAATGGCACGACTCAAGCAGACGATTTCACATGTTTGTTGTTGCTGGGTCCCGCCAAGCGTCTGGTGGATCTGTCAGGTGTTGGTGCTGGATGACGCATCATTTGTTGTGGCAGGGATCAAGATCCGACTATCTGGATCCATCATCCAAGCGCCCCGGACATGGATGAAATCCGGTTGGGATGGTCGAGTATCTGCGGATCGAGACTCTTTTCTCGTATAGGGGAATGCCTCTCTGAAAGAGATGTAATTGGAGTTAAATGGGGGATTGAGGAACTTGGAATGAATCTTTCCCAGGTGGCGACCGGCGGGGGACCTCTGTGGTTGACAGAGCTTCTCCTGAGCTTCTAGCTTGTGAAAGATAAACTATCAGAAATAAAGTTTGTGACCGTCGAAGGATAAGTAGAACGTGTGCCTCAAAGTTGCATTGAGCTCTGGTTATTGAATGCAGTTGCTCACTGCGCCCGCTTGGCAATGTCGACGAAACTCTTCCCCGAAAAAAGGTAGCTTAGTTCATCACGCAAAGCCAGTGAAAACTAACATGTGCGATCTCACAATTGCCCCAATCGTCAACTGTCTTCCCATGCTTTTTGGCCATGAGCTGGTTGGTGTCATAAGGCACGCGTAATAGTGATGGATGGTAAGATAGATGACTTAAACCCCGCGTGTCCCGGAGGTCTAGAAGCGGTCACCCGGCACTAGAGAAAACCAACCGAGGGAAATCGGCTAGGGGTGCCCTCTCCCTCGGGAGTCGGAGTCGGCGCCGAGCATGTCCGATGATCGGGAGCAGACATGTTTGGCTTTTGGTGGGCTACCTGGTGAAATAAGGGGTTTCCAGAGAGCCTTTTTGTGGAGTTTCGACGCGAACCAAGAGCTAGAGTCTAACTAGATGTAGTAATTACCGAGGCACTGCCCTTCAAAGCATCATAGCTGCTCTCCGAGTCGGAACTCTCGAAACCTCGATTAGATTAGATCTGGACAGCGCACACCTCACGACTCAAGAACAGCATATCCTACAAAATCCCATCTGCAGCCTCCATTTCTCCAGACAAACTTCCCCAGTCCTTCACTTACCCCAGCTTATCATCCCCACACACAAAAGTCACGATGCCGAATACCCCGGATTGGGTCAAGGCCCTCCAGCCATCTGGCCCGCAGGGCACTGAGCTCCTCGCTCAGGAGCGCGCAAAGTCCAACCTCAACGTCGACCAGCTCGCGTCGTTCATGTTCACAAATGAGGCTCTCGAGCGCAGCGAGAGGATACTAAACATCCTAAAGAAGGAGCCTGTCTTTGACAAGACCCAGAACTACTTCCGCGGCCGAAATGCCCGTATCGAGGCTGCGCTGGCGAGAGGCAAGAGACTGTTCCAGTTGACCAAGGAGCACAACTGGTCTCAGCAAGACTACATCGTTGCCAACGACCTGATTGCTGAGCCGACGCCGTATGGCCTCCACGCCAGTATGTTCCTCGTCACGCTGCGCGAGCAGGGCACTCCCGAGCAGCACGAGCTCTTCCTCAAGCCCGCCGAGAACTACGAGATCCTCGGATGTTACGCCCAGACCGAGCTTGGCCACGGCTCCAACGTTCGTGGCCTCGAGACCACGGCAACGTGGGACCCGTCTGATAAGAGCTTCGTTCTGCACTCGCCTCACTTAACGGCCTCGAAGTGGTGGATCGGTTCCTTGGGCAAGACGGCCACCCATGCCGTCGTCATGGCCCAACTGATCCTCAACGGCAAGAAGATTGGCCCCCACCCCTTCGTCGTGCCGATCCGCGACAAGAAGACTCACGAGCCTCTCCCGAACGTCCATGTCGGCGATATCGGCCCCAAGTTCGGCTACAACACCATGGACAACGGCTTCTTGCTGTTGAACAACGTCAAGATCCCGCACAACCACATGCTCGCCCGATTCTCGTCCATCGACCCGAACACGAGCAAGTACATCCGTCCCGCGAACCCCTCTCTCATCTACGGAACCCTCACATGGGTGCGATCCAACATTGTCCTGCAGTCAGGCTCCGTCCTGGCCAAGGGTGTCACCATCGCCACCCGCTACTGCGCTGTCCGCCGACAGTTTCAGGACCGAGATGCGCCGGCGGGTGAGCCTGGTGAAAACCAAGTTCTCAACTACACCATGGTGCAGATTCGTCTGCTCCCCCTCCTGGCAGCCACCTTTGCCCTTCACTTTACCGGTCGCGGTATGATTAACCTTTACAACGAGAACCAGAAGCGCATGAAGGGCGACGTCGGCAAGCTCAGCGACGGAACCAGAAACCCCGGCCCCGAGGAGTTGAACCCCGGCACCGACCTCCTCGCCGATCTCCACGCCACCTCCTGCGCCCTCAAGGCCTACGGCTCAACCGTCGCTGGTGAGGGTCTCGAGATCTGCCGCCGCGCCTGCGGAGGCCACGGATACTCCTCCTTCAGCGGTATCGGTTCCTGGTACGCCGACTACCTGCCAACCCTGACCTGGGAGGGCGACAACTACATGCTCACCCAGCAAGTATCCCGCTACCTGTTGAAGTCCGCTCGCTCCGTCCTCAAGGGCAAGGCCGGCAACAACGACACCACTCGTATTCTCTCTGAGTTCCTCCGCCGCCGCGACATCGGCGCAGCCTTCGATGTCCTCGGCTCAGACGAGGACCTCGTCGCTGCCTTTGCCTGGCGCGTGTCCTTCCTCACCTTTGAGGCCCTCCGCCACAGAGACGAGGACAAGCAGTCCTGGAACAGCCTTCTCGTCGACTTCTGGCGCCTCAGCACCGCGCACGCTCAGTACATGGTCGTCAAGAACTTCCACCAGGCTCTCAACGATAAGGCTACCACCGAGCAACTCGACAAGGACACCGTCGGTCTGCTGCACAAGCTCTTCAGACTGTATGCTCTGAACACCCTCGAGCAGGAGGCCAGCGAGTTCTACAGCTCTGCGGCTGTCACTGTCCGCCAGATCACGCTGGCGAGAACAAAGGCCGTCATGACCCTCCTGGAGGAGATCCGCCCTCACGCAGTCCGCCTGGTCGATGCCTGGAAGTTTGACGACTGGGTCCTGGACAGCAGTTTGGGCCGCTATGACGGCAAGGTGTACGAGGACATGTTCAAGCGCGCCAGCGAGGACAACCCGCTCAACAGCGTCGTGTTTGACCCCTACCCCAACAGCAAGGTGCTGTTCAAGAAGGATGAGAGAAAGGACCTGAGAAGCAAGTTGTAAATGATCTCACTAGACGGGAGACTATAGATACTATAAGGGATGGTTAAATGTTTTGATTGTAGAATTACCAGCGCAACGCAGATGAATAGAATCTGAAAGAATGGGAGACTTTACTTAGTACTATCTGCAACGGCCGTGGGCCTTCCTCTTCTGCCATGAGTAATCGTGACTCTGATTATCTGGAAATGTCAGGGCATTAGGTCTACGATACATGGTCTAAAGGTCGTGCGAGTGACTCGGAGACTCGCATGTTGTAGCAGCCATACACCATACAATAGCAAGCCGTCTAGTTCAGTTTCCTTCCCGCATAATTGGAGGCGAGGCCGGTAGCAGCGGCACCTCAGCCTGAGTTGACATGGGCCGATAGGGGCCAGGTCTCGGCAACGACCCCGTCAGCATTCCAGATCATCAGCTCAACTGACCACTCCGCCGCTGATTTTTCCTTCTCTAGTTGAATCGACTCAATGATGACGAAAAATCTACTTTTTCCCAATAGTAAGGACATTAACTTCGTTTGGTACCTAGACCCCCATACTTCTAAGATACCGAGACCTAGCAGTGCAAATCTCTACTCTACTCCTTAATGCGTCTGCTCTTATTCGCCCACGGAGAAACTCATAGAAGTCTTCCTGGTGACAGTGATTCGCTCTACTATACCACTATACTAGAATAACAGGCTCCCAGTTGGGTTCAACAGAGGCCCATCCATCCAAGGAAATAAAGCCGATCCCAAGACGCGAGTAGAGCCCGCTCGTGCGAGATGTAATGAGCACATAGAACCCAAATCCTTGGCTTCCCGCAAACACAGCATTATGCTCCCAGGTTTCAGGAAACTTAAGGCCGGCGGCGACAACTATCATGTAGTGGCTCGACCCCATGCTCAGACATTTCAAAGCCCACTGCCTATGCATAGGCGCAGTGGTTCCTATCTTTGTGCCATCATTGTTGTAGATCGTAAGTTGAATTCCGTCATCATCGCCGCGAAGGTATGACCCTATCCGGACTCTGGCAACTGTGGTGTTGAAAACGAGACAGCGAGGGTGTTCTTCAGCCCTGGCTTTGGTCTTATCATCAAGCTCGATGTGGTGGCGAGCTGTCATAGGGTTCTGCGGAGACCGTTTCCACATGTCAACCACGGAGATCCACGGTGCCTCTTGTCGAGGATCCTTGTACTCAGTGACCTGGCAAAGTTTTCCCCTAGGTTGAAAGAAGGCTTCAATATCTCGCTGGAAGTCTTCCTGCCGCATAGAACCATCAATTCGATCTTCTGGAAACCAAACCTTGCCTTCACAAATGTGCCTGAGCCTAGAGGGGCCAGTAGAGATCGGGTCACAGTAGAAAAAGGAGACGAGATGTCCAAAGTGAATCTGATACATCGGGTCCAACCAGTCGCCGTCAATTCTGCCCCCGAGAGACCGTTGATAAATGACGGAGCCTTTTCGGGTAGCCCATGTCCAAGACGGAAGTCTCAGCCCTTCAGTCGTGCGATATGTAACTCCTAGAGGAGAGCAAAACGACCACAGGAGGCTATGTGCCAGGTATCTCTCCGGAAGCCCCAGCAGCATCTGCGTTCTGGCCCGAGCAGCGACAACATTCCCGACGCCAGCAAAGGCGCTCAGCACGTCTTCCCGACGGCCGAGTGTTCGTTTAGTATACTGGTCCACTAGAAGCGGGTAAAATCCGAGGACCCCGTCATCGCTGTACTCATCGGATCGGAGGCCCTTTTCGAAACCTCTTCCACCCCGGTCTTGACCTGTCCTTGTGACGCCGGCAGTCTCTGGTTCCTCCTGTGGTCGGTAGTGCCTGATGTCCGGGTACCTATGAAGCTCAGAGCCCTCGTGGAAGCAGCTGAAGTAGACGTGCCCGGAGCTGAAGAAGATGTGCCGCCGGGAGAGCAGCTTCTCCTGAAATGTCCATGCTCTCGAGTTCCACTCGCTGGAGCTGATGACCTGGTTCTCGCTGAGAGGGGCTATCCCGACAACGGCATGTTCCATGGCAGAGTTCCCGCCCGATGTCGTACCCTCGACTGCTTTAGGCACGTGCTTAATGAATTGCCAGCAATGGTTCTTGTGAGTGGAAATGTTGGGCCGCGTAGTGAGACCGGGTAGCCCAACACCAACACCATTCGCAGCTGCAACAATGGTGAATTCTGCGAGTTGGTAAATGTCGTTCATAGCGTTGATCTGTGCCATCTTGAGATCTTCATCGTCCTGCAGGATGCACAAGCGATCAACCCAGAGGTATCGCTGGCTCATGTTCCGGCACAAGTGGATAGCGTCCCCAACTACTTCTGGCAGCAGATCCGCCACAAGAGAATCAGTCCGGTTCAACTTTTCTGCGTTTGACGTCGTCAAATGAAGGTCCCGATCCGCTGAAGCAGTTGCAAGCCGCCACGTATAACTCAATGCTACAAAGGCAACCTGGGTCTTTGGCTGGACAATCCGCCTACATTTGGTGTCTATTACGCGGAACCCGGCAGGGAGTCTTGATTCTGTCAAGGGCTCGTTGCATTTGGGTCCGTGGTAGTCCTGACAGCTCGCCAGCCAGCTGCGAAGGAGGCTGACGTTGATGTATCGCCGATCCCAGGGTTCTGCCAACTCAAGTCGGGTTCCATCTTTAGACCCATACTTAAGTCTAATCCCCAGAACAACAGGTCGATAAATGTGATTTGATTTACTGCCCGATAGCGGTGTAAGCCCCGAAACGCAGATAGCCAAGGCGCAGCTCTCGGCAAAGGACGAAGTCTCATGTGCCCTGTTAGATATGAGGGTACGAGAGCTTGGGTCCGTCCTACGACTCGGGAAGAGCCCGCAGACTGCGAATTCAGTGTCATCGCCGGCGCCATCTACGGTGCTTATCTCCGAGCTGATGAAGCTGCATATCATACAGTTTGGGCTATTGGTGGTGCTGCTCAACCATCGAAAGGTCAGAGACTGGAAACCGTAGGAGGCAGATTCCGATTCATCAAAGTCGGGATCGAAAGCTGAGACGTCCACGTTTTGTGATGCGTAGCAGCAATAGACAACATGGAAAAAGTCATTCCATGGCTGGCAATCATTGCAAAGAAGGGGATTGGGGATGATGGGGTTCTTGCTATCTGAACAGGAAATGCAATCCCTCAGGCGGCTACCGTCCCTGCCGTCTAAGTGTGTGGACATGTTTGTTGCATTCTCTGCTCATGGTTGGGTCTTCAAGTTGTCAGATACTGTCTCATATTGAAGTCAGCGAATGGAAAATAAAGCCAGGCAGCCGTCAGAGAGTTTATCATACACCAGAGGCTGCGGGGTCGCGGGACTTTGGACATCATTGGCCAATGATGAGTGGGTAGACGGGTGAGCGAATGGCGTATCGTGAAGCTCTCCAGACCCACGTAATATGGACTGACAGCATGTAAGTCCCCTCTCACAATGAGACTTTTGCAACCTTCTTAGCTTCAGCTGGACTTGTATTATATTTGAGGACAGGGTCGAGACTCTAGAAGTTTACAGCACTCGACACACTCCGTAAGTTTGATTCAATATGCGTCGTAGTGTAGACTTCTAGTCAAGATCCGAGCTTGGGGAAAATACAACTTCCAGATATGACAACACCGGGACCCAGCATCCTTCTCCAGCTATAATAAAAGAAGACTCATGTCTCTATCTTCATCAGAGTGGGTTGATTCAAGAGCTGTCTCAGCGATATGTCACTCGATAATTTACAACTCAGAACCTTGTTTTCATTTCCACCAATTCTGCTAACTGCAATTATTTCTCCCCCTGCTGTTATTGTTATTACTTCCATTAGTACTCTTTACTTCTTATATTTTCCTCTCAGAATACACCTTAATAGCGTAAGATGCCTATCATTTGATCACAATAGGGTGGGTAAGAAGAAGGGTTTCAAAGCCAGGGCAATAAAGGCAGTCCTCTTAGTCTCCCTTTGACTCTCCAACCATGGAGATTTTTGGACCAAGAGATTCATGTATAATCCTGCGCGTATATTCATCTATGGATTAAATGGTTGCGGCATTGCTGAGCAGGAACGTTTGCTCCGCTTGGTTGTGGCTTTTGGCGGGCACATGCGCCTTCCCCGGTAAAGTGACGTCAGTAGCTCTCCACCATTGTCGGTCTAAGACAAGCTCCCGTCAAGCTCCCATCCCTTCGCACCTAAGGCAAGGTACCGAGCTCAAGCTACGTCTTTCAACTTCTTTTTCCAACGGTGCCTACGTTCTTCCTTCTCAAGGCATTTCCCCTACAGACACTGTCCACTACCACGAGCGGGATATCAAAGACCTGCCTGGGCCCTTTGGCCTCCAACCGCCACCATGCAGATCCGGAGCACCTCCATCTCGTCCTCGATCCTCGCAGCCATCTCAGGCGACTCAAACAACCCCGACAAACCAAGCCTCAAAAAGCGCATCTTTCGCGTCTTCACCTCCTTCCTATCCGTCTTCCACCTCCCTCTTGCTCGATACCGCGCCGCAGACTTCCTCGAACTCCGACACAATGTCTGGCAATTTGATGAAGACGAGTACACAAACTCCTTCCACCTCGCAAAGAAGGCAGCCAAGGGCAAGGGCCGCGAATCCGATCTCGTGCCTGTGGGCGATCTGGGGTACAGCGGCTCGACCTTCTTCACGACGGCCGATGGGAAGTTCCTTATCAAGTCGCTGCCCCGCCGGTTCGAGCACGAGTTCTTCACGCACGACTTGTTTGACGCCTACGTTGCACACATGAAGAAGCACCCGCACAGCCTGTTGGTTCGCATCACCGACATGGCCTATACCGCGAAAGCGACGATTGGTGGCATTCTCGGCATGGCGCCGACGCACCACATCATCATGGAGAACCTGATGTTCGGTAAGAAGGAGGAGGAGACCGATCATCGCAGGAACCAGTGGGAGACATACGACCTCAAGCCCAACGACTACTTCTTCCCCGAACGTGATATCGCCAACGGCAATCTTGCACCACAGAGCGTCAAGGAACGCTTGATTGACGAGTTCGAGGACAAGGTTCGCGTCACACCCGCCCAGAAGAAGGAGCTGCTGGACATTCTCGAAGCCGACACCCAACTCCTGGCCGAGAACAACGCCGTCGACTACTCCCTCTTCATGGTGCGCTTCCCCGGCCCCAATGTGCTCGACGAAGCTCGCGACGTACCCACGATCCAATCCGACGCACCTCCCTGGCGCACCGGTCTGACGGACGCCGACGGCAACTGGACCTACCGCATGATCGTTCTCGACTTCTTCTGGGCCAAGCACAAGTTTCGCGCGAAGGCCATGACTGGGCTCGTCAAGTCGTACAACGTGTTTGCCGGCCACGGCCCCATGAGCATTACTGCCAACCCTACGGAGTATCGGGAGAGATTCCTCAACATGGTTCGAGATTTTGTCGTTGAAGTATAAGACAAGTATTCAACGAGTATCAGTAGGGGAGGTTGAAGGGTTTCCCTTGGCCATTGAGTTAACAAAGCACGGCGTTGGGCTAGCATGTATACCCCCTTTCCTTGCGTAGTATCAGTTTCCTTTCCAAGATTTGAAGATACCAGATTTCAGACTATGCTTTCCGATACATGTGGTCATATTTGTCTCCCACTGAAGTCTTGGTGATTGTTTACTGCAACTCCTGTGACCCTTAACTTAACATACCTCATCAATTCTAGTAATGCTGTTATAAGTTCTCGAGGCCTTTGTAACAAGCTTATTTCAGACTACACGCATTCTGTCCACTTCACTTGATTCCCTTCACTTAACCTCCTTCACTGGATCGTCTTCAGAAGATACTGGAAGCTACAATGAATTGGGACCAGGGTCCCCTCATAGCAATTGTGCCTCTTCAGACTTGTTCACATCCTACTTGTCTTCACGGTGACTTATCTTCCCATGAAGACTGGACTGCCTGGGCTCATCTGTGACATTTCAATAACAGGACCTAGTGGTCTCGCAACTCTTTGGGACCCCTTTTGGGGTTGACTGCACTCAAACTCATCATTCTTCATAATGAGAACAGCCCCTCCCTTCCCAAGAACCCCTTTCAGTCTCTGACTGTCTGCTCTAATGTGTCTACCAAGTCTCAGTGGTCTCAACCAATGCCTTTCTAACTTCCCTCATGTGAAGTTCCCGTCTGACCTGCTTCGTCTTATACTTCTCTGGTCCATCTGTGCCGTGTTCAGTCTCCCGTGAAGTTGATCTTTTGAGCTCCTCCGTCTACCACAGTCCCCGCATAGCCTCAGTTCCCGTCTCCGGCTGCCCTAGGGCTGTAAAAGTCAGATTCTTTTCTCAGCTCACCAGTCCTCTTCTTCTCTTTCTTTTTCTTCTCACCTTCACCTACCTCTTCTCCCTTACCACCCTCTCTTCCTCCTCCTCAGCAACTTCCCTCTTCCCTCTGGCATCTGCAGAGGATCTGGATGAGAAGGGTGCTTCTTCCTTTACTCCCTTTTCCAGCTTCGCATTTTACCTACCGCCAAACTCCTCGCCGCCTCGTCCTTCTCGGCTTTGCGCTTCGCTCCGCGACTATCTCCGCGGTAGTCCCTTCTCTGCTGAGTCTATCTCTGGGTAGAGTCTATAAGAGAGAGAATCTCTTCCTCCCGCCTCTTCACAGAGTCTTCTTCCTCATACATCCACATCAACACGCAGAGGCAGCACTTTCACTTACCTTAATATCCTCGCCTCTCCCTTTCGGAGTACTCAGGTATGTCATCCAGGCAAGAGCCTCACTCACCTTTGAGATCAGCATTGAGCATCATTAACATATCTCAGGTCGTCTACAGTCTTCTACCTGAAGCAACAATCTTTTCTTCTCCAGAACAAGTCTGCTTCCGAGTCTTGGCCTCGATTCTATAGAGCAACCGCACAACAACACAGCAGCATAGACATAGAGACGGAGATTTCGCCTTGCTTTTCGGCGTTCTTGACGTCAGCATCGGCGCGCCTTGGCTCTTATAGAACAAGCCTTCTATAAGCCAGTTATCGACAACGAAACAAGATCATTTAGATCATTCACCAATATCGTCTACCTCAACAACAGGTAGCAGCAACGCTGAATGCAAAGAATCCCCTCGTGGTGATTTCTCGGCCTACTGCAACTCTTGGTCTCTTTGAGTCAAGATAGCTCAAGCACCTTCAGACTCAGCTAGGTAAGTCATGATATGTTTCAGCACTGCTTGCTCACCGCCCCAAGAACCTGCCCCTACTTCCCGACCCTCCTGCACACCTGCCTTAGTTACAGCATCTTACGAATGGCGCTTTCCGCCCGCGTCAACAGCCGCTCTTGCCTTTCCCGGAATGAAAACACGGGCGCTCCAAGAGCTTCTCCCTTCACATTCTGATTTCGCCCTTCGTCTGTCCCCTTCTACATCACCACTTTCGAGGACCCGACCGTCAAAGGTTGGCAGAGTAAGCGGTACTCTCAGCGTCATTTCCAATCCAATCGCTACAAGAATCGATTTCAGCCAGTGATTCCTATCTTTACTCCCGCATCATCTTCATCATTCATATCTCGCATTTCTCTCTCTTCAAGAGAAGCATCGTCGGTCCATTCGTTAACACCATTCATTTACAGTTTTCCCACAGAATCAGCCGAAAGCTCCTACGTCTCGATAGACCCTCTGGACCTTTTCCACCAGCAGCACAACGCAACGGCGGCCAAAATGGTTGACAAATACGACCCCCGTTTCCCCGGCCGTGTCATCAAGCAGGAGAACAACAATGACGGTGATGAGAGCATCTACGCGTCGACTGACGATGGCTTTAATGATGACAAAAGCGACGCCGGAAGCCCACCCGCCCCTGCTCGTCCGATCCTTCCCCAGTCAAACTCGGAGAAGCTCATTGATTTTGGCGACGACTTCGATGACCCCAAGGATCTGGAAGCTACTGTCTCTGACACCAATCACGCCCAGACGATTACGAGTGTCGCTGTCATTAAGCAGGGCGATTCCCAAGAGACCGCGATTCCGCCTCGTGAGAACAAACCTTCCCCGATCGAGTCGTTCGTTTCTGGTCGCAAGCCACTGAACCCATCCTCAGCCGAATTTACCCCCAGCAGCACGAACCGAGACAATTTGTCGTCAAAGCAGTCATTCTCGTCCTACTCAGATGCTCGCCAAAGCTTGGACGCGGGACTTGGCCTTTTCGCCATGAAGTCTCGCCTCAGCCGGCTCGAGGCCGATCACGAAGCCCTCAAAAGCGAAAATGAGAGCCTCGAATACGTCAACGAATCGCTAAAGCATCAAGCAAACTTGGACCAGGACACAATCGCCAAGCTCAGGAAAGATATCAAGGAGGCCAATCTTCTCCGATGCAGAGCGCAGACTTACTCTGTCGAACAGAATGAGCGAAGCAGCAAGGATCAAGAAGTACTGAGCAGACTCCAAGACGATCTCGACCATAGTCAAGAGCAGCTCACAGAATACAAGGCGAAGTATGCCGGAGCGGTCGCAAACAATGCACCTCTCGTTGCTCAGCTCCAGGCCATGCAGAACTGCCTTCTCAACGCTGTTGAGCGGGCCAAAATGTACGAGGCCTTCATGCGCTCCTTTATCACTGATCACCCAGAGGTTATAGAAGCTTTCGCAGTCATTGGAGTCTCTCCTGATGACGGCACAACCACGAAGCCTGGTCTCCCGACGGTTCTTGGCATCAATGACGAGCCTTTGATATCATTTGAGGACCATTTTCCAGCTCTCCAGACACCTTCCAAGCCCCAGAACGTTGATCGAGCCAACCAGGCAACTTTTCCGAAGCCCGAGGTTCCCTCCACCTTCAAGGGAGTCTTTGTCACGCCCGACGCTTTGGCTGAAAAGCTGCATCCTGCTCCCCTCAATGAACACCTTGACAACCAGAATACCGAGACTGCAACTCGCACGGCCGACATCGTGACTGGGCTCGACTGGAGTGATGGCAGCGATAACATCTGGGACAGTCCATTTCAGAAGGAGCGCGCGTTGCAGACGCACCAGCGTACCGTTGGAAGGCGTCACCCTTCAGCGGTGCCGGGTATGTTGAAATACGGCCTTCGGTATATACGCGATGGGGCTGGTCAGAAGCTAACCGCCGACAATGGCGTATCAGATGTGTCTTCCAGGACGATCATCATGACTGGACTTCCCGATGAGGTTCACGTCCAGCGCATCCTTGAGCACATCCGAGGCGGTCGAATTCTCAAAGCCCACGCGATGCCGATGGGAACTAGTGATAATCGTTTCAACCATGCGTACATTGAGTTCACCTCTCCGGAGGATGCTAAGGCGTTTTTCCAATACAGCCTGGACCGCGGTCGCGAAATCGGATTCACCACGGCTGATGGTAAATCAGTTCAAGTCCGCATCAGCATGCCCAACACGGACTCATTTCCCCTCAAGGACTCAATTCTCACCATGATTCGCGAGGGAAATACTCGATGCCTGGCCGTCACCGGATTCCCCGTCAAGGATCTGCACATGGTTCTCAAGAGAGTTGGGCTGTCGTCCACCTTCGCTGAAGTCATCACGCACTTTGCGTACGCCGACGAGAAAAGCTTTCAGATTTCATTCTCCAGCATTGAGTCAGCTGTGCTTGTTCGTAAGTGTATCATTGGATCCCCTCTTTATAGCGGATCACCCGAGGGGCACGATGTCATCTTCTGCCCGGACCCGTGCGATGCCTCGCTCGATGATCTTCTCCAGATTCGACACCTCCCTACATCCCGCTCGTTCAATACCAATGCCATCTCCGCAGAGAACGCCCGCGGCTTTCAGACCAAAGAAGAGGCTGAAGCCGAGGATCAGCGCTATCAAGAGGCATGGCTTGCGAATGCCCACTCAAATGATGCGGAGGAAGAGGCAGAGCTCGATGCATTCCGAGAGAGACAGAAGCCCATTGCTTGGGAGAAAGGCGCGAACTGGGACGAGGCCGTTGAGTACATGGCTTATGATCCTGATCAGAGAAAAAAGGTTCGTCACCGCAAAGATTCCAAATCAGGTGCCTTTCAAATGTGGTATTCTGCTGGCTGGGCCTACACCACGGAGCAGTCGCAAAAGGAATGGCTGCATTATAATATCGACAGCACTGACCCTTATACCCAGCAGACTGCGGATTTGATATACCAGAGCACTGGCGCGATTGATCAACGGAAGGTGAATGCCTATCTTCGGACCAAGAACAAGAAGCAACATGAGCAAGACCATGACGCTAACCAAGGCGTCAACAGCAACAGCAAATCATCGTTGACGACGGCGGCGTTGACGGAGACGCAGAGCAGTCTCTGAATGACGGATCGGCCGCTCGCCGCTCCAACCTCTCGGCCAAGCTTTTCGCGGAATCCATTGGTATGAGGGGCAACGATCGATCAGTTCCCGTCACTGCCGTATTGCCAATTGCCGGCACCGAGTACGACCGCGTCGGCGGTAACACTGGACTGGGAGTCC